TGCATATGATTCGATTTGTAACCGCGCTATGATCTTGGGAAATTCGAGACTGTTTCTTTGCGGAGCTGGAGTATTTCGCCTTGCATGGTCTGAAGCATGCTATGCTGTCGGCCGGATTCCACTGGGAGCGAGAGTGAGCTGATACTTTATCTTTGCTGCTTCCTCCAATAGACTTGCGCGTTAGGAGCCCAGAGTTAAGTTCCACATCGTCGCTATCATCTTGTGGGACGGGAGGGATGTCTCTCACTGGTGGCAGCTTGGAGCGGCTAGATAATGTGACCGTGTTTTTGGAGAATGCGAGTGGCTGCATGGTATTTACGACTGGTTTGGTTTGGACGTGACCGGCTAACAATGGGCTTATGGACAAGAAACGAGCGAGTGGGAGTCAAAGAAGCCTGGGGCTCAGACACGGCCTGTTTCTTGGATGTGATGGCACCATGAGAGGGCTGTGGAATAGACTGAGGAGGATGCGTTGACCGTGGTACTACAGTTGAGAGACATTCTGGCAGATTGGATCGCGAAGGTGCAGTTGGACGAATCGACGATGGTGCAGTAGAACGAATTGATGACGGCGCAGAAGAACGAATTGACGACGGCACAGAGGAATGAATTGATGACAGTGCAGAAGAACGAATTGATGACGGCACAGAGGAATGAATTGATGACAGCGCAGAAGAACGAATTGACGACGGCACAGAGGCATGAATTGGTGCAGCAATTTCAGTGGAGACTTTTAATCTCGAGGGAATCGGAATCCTGAAATGTCCAAGCAGATTTAGTAACAATTGACGCTGTAACCAAGGTTGCACGTACTTTGAAGTCTTTTGATTTGATGTACAAATCTTCTTGGATGCTGGAAGGAATGGGGACTGGAAACGTCGAGTTGGAGGGTGCCCCGCACGTCCATGAGTACCCGTAAATGTGGGCATGTTTGCATCATGATCCTCCAGCTCCGAGCTAAGTGAATCAAGCTTGCGCTTCTTCGACGTAGGATCATGCGCATCATCGAGGAGTGTAGGATCTATGGCGAAGTATGGAAGCTCCGAAGTCTCAAGTTCAGGAGTGTATTCCGTTGGTGGTGTACTGCAGCCACCTTCGGCAGCAGATGACGATGCCTCTGCAGACGTGGTATATGCAGATTCAGCACCTGTTGCACCAAAAACAAACTGCGAGTCCTCGTAGTAAGGCGCTGGGTTAAATTGTCGCACTTTTAAATGATACGTTGCATTAGCTAGCATATACATTGATCGAGAATATGACTTACTGATCAAGCGCTGGTATGATTGACTGGCGGCACACTTGTACACGCGCAAGTCAGCTGGTGGCCGGGGGTGGCCTACGTCCAGCACACCGAATAATCACGTATAATGTTAACTACAAGATTTGATCAGCTTCCAATAGTTTCAGTAGAATTACTTACCTTTGAGCTTGGATGTATGCAGTCGTACTACGCTTGAGGCTGTGTCACAAGGTAAGTTGTTCAGAGCAAGGTGCACGGAGTTTCAATTCACCTTGTTCCTTACCCCTTCGACAACAATCTCAACGACGGCGAACCGTCCCGAACCCCAAACCGATAATGATATTTTCAACAGGTATGTACCTAGTTTTCATGCTAGCGGGGGTTAATGCTAGCACTACAGGAGGATTTTGGGTTGCGCAGTGGGCATGTGTATTAGCTAGGGGTGCGTCTAGGACTATAGCAACTCGTTAATGTTGTGCTGTGTATGTACACCTGCGCTGACACACTATGATCTTGCTTCCTCCTGGATGCTCTTGCCGCGCCTCCCAGTAGTACCCTCTGGATAGCACACGATCATCCACAACATCGTGTCCCGCCTCCTTGAACATCCGCGTAGATCCATGGTGCGCCTGCGAGATGCAGACCCTCTGCACTGTGACTAATAGCATCACTCTGTAAGTCCTAAAACTGCACGTGCGATCATGTGTGTCGTTCATTTGCTGATTCACTCGCAAGGTCAACTTCTACAGTCCACCCTTGTTTGCATGTTTGTGTGTGTGTTCGTCCTGCACTCATTCACATTCATTTGGTGCAGTCTAGGTGCGCCTTTTTCGTTTATATATGTATGTACATCACTAACAAGCATCTTCACTCATTTCTGTTTGCTTGTGCGTGCACATCAATGCTTATCTTGACGTGTCTGCGTCTGGCGTCTTGAACGATAGGTACCGCTTTTTCACGTTTATAACTAGGCTATAACTGATCATTTGTTTATGCTTCCCGCTTGTCTGCTAATGTTTGTGCTTGCCTGCACTGGTCTGCACCCCGCCTCTGCACTTGTCTCTGCTTGTCTTTGGGCTTTTACTCGCATTTGGTTGTTTCCGCATGCCGCCACTCGTCTGTGCTCGCTCGCACATATCTGCACCTGCTGCTTCTCGCTGCCCTCTTCCTCCAAGGCTCGTGGTTTCGTTGCTACCTTGTCTGTTAGCAACTCAAGTACTACTCACGCCTCGACGCCTGCCGGTGTTTCATAACCTATTTTCATTTGCGGTTGATCGTTCAATACACCAGGCCCCAGTGCATCTCTCGTATTCTCCCCATCCAACCACGCCCAGCTGCGCCCTCCAGCACCCATACCCAAGGAGGTATGTGTTTAATCTTGTGGTATCTACTCCTGACTTATCTTTTTGCAGCATTGAGCATATACGCACCGCTACCTGCAACCCCATCCGAGTCTGGCATCCCCTATCACCTTCTAAGCCCATGTTTAGTGTCCATCGCCTGCTATCGCCGCTTCGCTTATTGTCAAGCGCTTCTGGAGTTTAGTATATATGAATATGGGCTACGTAGCAGCATGTATTATAATGTCTGCTATAGCTGATAATGCGCGGCTGTATTCGCTGCAATATATATAACGAATTTTGCTCATTAATTGTCTGATCCGAAATATCATATAATATAATATATTTATATATATAATGGATATAGGTGGTTTATCGTGTATATACAGTATCGTTCTGGACCCATGGTAGTAGCTGGCTTTGAGCTGACTGGAACTTGATGGCCAAACCATGTCTTCGAGGTGGTTGAAATCCGGAAAATCAACCGTTTCGAAGCCGGTTTATACCATAGGTCCAGAAATGGCTAAAACTTGACCCTGGGGTCACATTCCAGCCAGGTATCTACCGTCGGAAATTTTTGATAACACGCAGTGATGTGTTCCATAACTTGGTGGTGAAATCCGATGATCCGCTGGCCAGCGCGCTGGAATCCCAAGAAAAGTCCAGCGAAAATATGCAACCGTCATGGGCTTTCTCGATGGCTGGGGAGAGAGGTTCTCCTGTTGTTCCATGCCAGGCGATGAGCTCTCCACTCTCATCACCACTTGCTATCCATTTTCCATCTCGTGAAACTGCCAATGCCCGCACCCGACTACGATGACCATCCATCTTCTTCAACACCTTTCCTGTCTTCAAGTCCCACAGACGAACCATTCCATCATACGACCCCGTGACCATGCGTTCGTCATGCGTGGATGGGTCGTGGAAAACTGCGACTGCGATCACACGATCTCCGTGATCTTCGAGCGCTCGAATGGGTGTGGTGCTTGGAATGAGCTGCGCCATGCTAGTAGAGCTTGGGCACGGTCGAAGTGGACTTGGTGTGTATGGGTTGTTGGTGTCTTGATCGAGGTTGCAAAGGTTCATGTCCTAGGACGTTTTATGCTCCTTTACAGGTTTGAGCTCTCAGTAGACGCCCAGAACATGAGGCTGTTATCATGTACCTCACTGGACGATCTTAGCGAATGATCTCATGCCTCCAAGTCGTTTCACCTTCCACATCAGTCAAAGAGCCTCATCACGGTTGTTGCAGGGGTCCATGTGGCAGATAAGAAGACAATATACACGGTTCACCTGATGCACCTGATCAGATATGCCCTTGAAATTCCTCCTGATGATATGCTGAGCTTCTGTTCCCCGGAATTTTCGTAGCGGAGATCCGATGCTAACGAGGCTTTCCTTTGATCTTCTCTGGTGTCAGCATCATACACATGTGTGATTCGCCATTAGCATTGGAAATACTCAATCATTTCAAACTCTGATTATCGATCACCCCAATGCATGGGTTGAATTAGTTTGGATTTGAGACTTTGAAACAACTAGTGAACACCCACTCTCGCGTATTTCCGGCGTTTGAGGACGGCGATCGGGCATCAGACGAGCTCGAGGCCGCGCCGGTCAAGATTCGAGGGACTGACCTACGATATTTGGTACTATTGACGCGATGTTATTTTTTCACACCACACGTGATTATTTTTTCTTGATTGATATTGATGATGTCATATGCATGGTTCGGATAATCAAATCCGTCCCACCGCAAATACGACAAGGTTCAGATCATTCTCCGTGAATTTGCCGTACATTCCATGCTTCCATCAGGGCCTTCTCTTGCAATTGTCCTTGGTCGAATATCAATATATGTCTCTAGGTTCAAGCTACACGGTATGCGGTGCGCGTAAATGGCCCGAACATTTCAGCTGGTTTGTAAAAATAATCAAGGATTCGTCGCGCAGAAGAAGAGTTCAAGTTCCTCGAGGATTTCGTGGAGGCCGACTTCGAGATCGCCCTAGTTACCTCCAAAAGACGGATCAGTCCCCTCATACATCCATTCCTTCCGAGGCGGGCACGTAGATTCGCTTCAGCAACATTACTTTTTCCCAGCCATGTCCCTCAACCGTCCTGCTGTCTACTGGAGATGCAGAGCTTGTCGAGGTGAGCAGACGATTTTTCCTTACGATTCCGATAAGGACTCGTTTGAGGGTATCGGAGCGGACTCGAAAGGCCAAACCAGTTGGGCAAGGCGTTGCTGAGGCTTAAGACCATGCTTTGGAGAGGACGTGCATAACAAGCTTGGAACACTGAATTTGTATCATCTTCATCCTCATAAAGTTGCGCTGCGACTTAGCTCCGACAGACAGTGAGCGAGAAAATGCAAAATCTTTCAAGCTTTCAAGTGAATGCAAATCTCGCAAGCGTAAGTAGTAAGTGCTTACCCAGCCTCCTGGTGGGATTCAGGATCCGCGCCGAAATTTCAAAATGATTCACGTTTGGGCGAAATCATGCGTGTTAAAGCGGTCTATGTCGGCTCCGACACACGCGCTGAAAGATGTGTGGTAGATGTCTTGTTCATGTTCAAGCGAGCCGGTATATGAGACGACGAGTACAAATAAAATACAGATGTGGTCATGGTATAAATGAAAGCTGGAGTCGGATATCTGTGTTTCAAACGGTATGTGTAACCGCTGGCTGCGAGCGCAGCATCTCCATTGGAAGCATAGAGCGCGCTCGATTCTTACTTGAGAGCTAGATGAGGTATAGTTGACGATTGTAGAAAGGGTGACATTACTGAAAACTCACCATTGAACCAAGCACGTGAGCTGGCTCTCGTAGTTTCATCACTCTTGTCCATCATGGACTGAAACGACTCCAGGGCTGCTCCAATTCTACCAGCCCGAAAGAGTGCATGACACTGTTACTGGTTCGCAGTTTGCCACAAGGACTTCAGGTCCCAGCCGAAGAGCTGCAAAAACACACAGATGAGCCATTAAAAGGCTATTCGGTTGCATCGCATCAACGAACCACGACAAACTCCTCGTACGTAGAATGAATCGGCAATTTATAGAAGGAAGCACTGGCGTTGGCGGCGAGAGTGAAGTGGTCGACAGCTTCATTGTGGCGCTTGCCATCCAAGGCAAGTTCTCCTAGTTGGACATGAAGATAGGCCTGATGTTCGAGAGGCAGAGATATCAGCTCCAGTACACGAACCTGGGCTTCATCGGGTGCGTTAGTATACTCACTTCCACGATACGACAGACAAGAGGATCGACATCGGGAGACACGGTCAACTCTCCAACACGCAGCATGGCCACTTCATGTTCATTTGCATTGAACAGGGCGATAGTCTGAAAATTGCTATGAAGCACGCAGTACGTACTGAAAAAAATGAGACCTGCCTTGACCAAGAAAAGGAAATGACTGGTCTTCAAATCTCCGTTCATAAACATGGACGCGAAGTCAAATGCCGTACTTGCGGCCCAGACCTGCCTTTTCCCACAGAGGGCAATGCCCTTGGCGATATGGCCTACAAACGAGGGTTGAATGCTGACGGACTATCATCAAAGTTAACTTTCATGAGGAGGGCAATATGAGTCAGGCTATATCACCTTAACTGCATCAAGAAGTGCGTGGTCCCAGGCACGTTTTCGCGCCATAACAAATGCGCGGTTGGCATAGGAGGTGTAATTGTTGACATCAGCTTTGATCTCTAGACTCAGCACCTTTTCGGCGGTAGGCAAATCCCCGGCTATGCACGCATCGCGGGCTGTCGAGTTTATAGTGAAGACCTGGGTAAATCCTGTTTGTATTGTGTTATAAGAGACAAAGGTGGCAACATACCTTGAAATCAGAGTAGGCTTGAGCCTTGGCATCAAACGACGTTTAGAATCTAACTGACGAGAAGACGCCGGGAAAATGAACCTGGTATTTTGCCTGCTCCTTTGGACCATCCTGTGGACCATTCTTTGGACCACCCGCTGGTAAAGAGTCCTCTGGTACAGACCACTCTGAGAGCTCTGTACCTCCACCACTGAGGATGTGCTTGTCATCTGAGAAGGTGACACAGTACACCTTGCCAGAGTGCTGGAATCCGATTATGGTTCGTTGTTCTGAGACCCGCCAGAGGCGGACACGGTTGTCATCAGATGCGGAGGCAAGGAGAGTGCCGTTAGAGTTCAGGGAAATGGCGTTGATAGCATCAAAATGGCCCTTCCAGGGATCACCGACCTGCTTCCAGGTCGATGTATCCCACTCTCGTATGGTAGGATCAGCCCTGGAGCCCGCTGAGAAAAGCCGCGTGCCATCAGGCGTCCAGGCGAGCGAGGAGTTCCATGATGCGTGTGCCTTGAAATTTGCTACGCATTCCCTGGTGCCTGGATTATAAATTTGGATATCTTTTTCTGTTGCAATCGCAAGACATTCGCCAGACGGCGAAAAACGAACGCAGCGGGCACGTGCATCACAATTGATTGGTTTTCCTAGCAGCTCCCAGCTTTTGGTACACCACAGCTTCGTCGTACCGTCCGAGCTGTATGACTCGGAGGAGCAGCTGGCCAGCATCGAGCCATCTGGAGAAAAGTCCAGGGAGCTGATATTCGAGGTGTGGGCATTGATGACTTTGGTCAGAGATTCCCCAACGTCTACATCCCAGGGGATGAGATCTCCTTTACTGTCACCGCTTGTTATCACTTTCCCATCTGGAGATACCGCCAATGCTACGATATCGCCGTTGGAACTCGCATGCCAGCTCATTCTCTTCAACACAACGCCTTTCCTCATGTCCCACAAACGAATCATCTTGCTTTCCGAGCCCGTGACCATGTATCGTCTGTCGGGAAAAACTGCGACTGCGCATGGGCAATATCCAACACCATCTTCGAAATGTCGAACGGGTGCCATGGGTTTTGGAATGAGCTGCGCCGTTTCTGCGGGTTGATGATATGGACTTCGTGGGGAGATCGTGGATATCTTCACTGCGTTTATATGCTACTCCACAACGTCAGACGCCCAAGATGAGGGGCTGCTATTAATAATGTCATAGGCGCCTTGCTTAAGCTTGAGCTTGCTTATCGACGTCAGTGAAGGATCCGAGATTATGTGTCGCCGCAGCTTTCCAGAATATTGACCATGCGCTGCTCACCGGTATCCCACCTGGTGATAAATAAACCTGAGACCCAATGTCCTGTAAATGATAATTCGACTCAGGTAAGCAGCAACTTGCGAAGAACATAAATCTCAAGCGCTCGATACAACCAAATCACCAATCCCTCCTAGCACCGCCATCCCCAAGTACAACCAAACCACCCAACACCACTCATCACTCATCACTCATCAAACGCACCCATAGCCCGCACACATTCTACTAATCGTTTATACTCCCTTAACAACTCTCCCACCTCTGACACCCTCAAATCATCCTCGGCACACTCCATAAACCTCTTATTAGGCGCAGGAAGCCGTATCAAGATGGGAGACGGCGCGCGTGATGATGTTGGTGAGTCGAACCGGTTGTGGTGTGAGGGAAGTAGCAACGAGGAGCGTGTGATGGGGGGTGATGCCGTCTACACAGGATGAAGATAAATTATAAAGCACATCAGTAATAGCTTTGATGTACGAATCAGCAAAGACAGACCTTATGCGGATCCGTTCCAGAAAGCCTCGACAACCCTGGCACCTGCGCCAGGCGATCCGTCAAGCTCTTCCTACTCAGCCCAGCAAGCTTCTTTTTCTTCTTTCGTGCCCTCCCGCTATCCCCGCTCAGCATGCTCTCAAAGCTTCGAATGCTTCTTGCATCGGGTGCATGTTCCTCTTCCTCACTTTCGTCTTCCTCTTCGCCCTCTTCGTCGTCATCGTCGTCGCTCTCGTCGCTCTCCTCCTCAGTCCCATCCACCCCCACATCCTGATTCACATAGATCGAGCGTATAGACCCCGGCCTTGACGACACATCCACGAGCTCCCTCTGCCCCTCCTCCCCTTTCCCCTCTCCCTTCCTTCCAGGCACCAAACTCGCAATCGAAAACCCGCTCTCGCGCCTCAACAACCCCATGTTCCACCGCGCGTCGCTGGTCTCTGTAGCAGGGGCAGACGTAGATGTTGGGTTTACGGCAGATGCTGAAGTAAGAGCAGATGTTGCGGTTGGTGCAGATGGTAGGAAAGAGCGGAGGACGCCGAATGAGCTGTCTACGACGCCCGTGATTACTTTATTAGCGGACCCAGCGATGGCGTCGACACCTTGTTCTACGCGTCCGCGGAGGCTGCCGGGCGCATCTGCAGGTGCGTCTGGTGGAAGTGTGGTGCGTACGATTGGGATTGGAGTGAGGTCTGCGGTGCTGTAGACAATTGATGTTAGCGCATCGAATGAGAATGGACATTAGAATATGGGAAATAAGGAACAGCGGTTTGAATCAAGCAAACCCACGAATTGGAGTGATCGAAAAGCTTGAACACCCACCTAACAATACCAACACCCTCCCCAACACCCACAGCACCAAGATCCACATTCTCCAAGAACTCTACGACAGCCATCAAATTAATCAAACAATATCTTTCCTCTCCACCAGCGAACGCAGCATTGCGGTACCGCTGTGTGAACAGAAGATGCGAGACGAGGCGTACGGGGTTTGATTTGACAACGGCGAAGATGAGTAGTGGGAGGAGGACGTCACCGGAGACTGTTGTCGGTTCCTGGACGGGGGAGATGCTTACTTGGGGCGAGGGGGTGTGGTGGTGGATATCGGAGGGCGTCGTAGTCAAAGATGGTGGCTGTGGGGATGAGACCTCAGACAACTTCTCAGGTGACCCGCGAGCTGCATCCCCATCAAGTTGTGGATCTGGTGAGGATGTCACATTAGGAGACGCCACGATCGGGCCATCCACAGCTTTCGGTTCGGGTTCTTCGCGCTGTTTATCGCCATTGCTGAGTTTAATTGGAGGAAGGCGGGAAAGACCATCTTTATTCGATTGAAATCATATGTCAGGGCATAACATGCATGCATATATGCATCTCACTCACCTACTACGATCTTGTGCGCCGCAACCAGCACAGCGGCTTTGTCACCGGGAGATCTACAGGCGATGTCTAGCTGAGATAATGCTGTGAAAGTATCAATGAAGATGAACGACCAGCAAGAGTGAATGGATTGGGAAACTTACTCTCTCCACATGCTCGGACTACGACATCGATCTCGGATCCTGCACTGCCAACGTCAACATCAAGATGCTCGAGCCCGAGGTCAAGAAGGTTGAGAGCTGCGATGTGGCTTGATAGTGCCTCGTCATGTGGGGCATCGTCAGAGTGAGATGGGAGGAATAGCCTAGTAGAAATCAGCACCAAGAATAGGAAAACTGGTCCTTCCATGCTGTACACGTACCGATCGTAAAACAGAGTAGATAGAGTCCCCTCGACCACTTCAACGACTTCCTTGACCCTGGACTCTTGCTCTTCTTCCGATGCCTCTCCTTTCTCTTTCTCGATCTCAATCCGTATTTCTCTCTCCAATTCTAGATAAAATTCCTGGAATTTCTCAGCCAATTCTTCGGGGCGATCCTTCCCTGCATCCAGATTAACGGCCCATGTCCCGTGTCTACTCGGGCTTGCGCCGATATCGTGAAGTTTCTTCTTCCCAGCTGGACCTCTAACGAACGGAAGCAATGGAGATGCAAAGGATTGTACGCGTTCTATAATCATTGCTGGGACACCAGTCGTTTCAAGAGTTGACGTGAGCTCAGATTTGAGCGCAGCTAGAACGTCACGCATCACATCATGTCGATGTACCGCACGGGAAATACTGAATGCGCTGATGAGTGTCGGATGATCCTCTGCAGGAGGCAATGGTGTCTGCATGGGTGGGAGGGTAGCGGCGATTGTTGGGGGTGTGGTCATGGGCTTGCCGCCGAATAGAGAAGCGAAGGGCATGGCGAGTCGGGAAGGTTGGGTGGCGGGTATAGGCCGTGGGGGTAGGGGTGGCTTTTGTGGACGGACTTGGATTGGGAGTGAGGTGCTGTGTGCTGGTACTGCATATGAGGGGTATGCAGAGTCTGGTGGGATTGAAGGGAGTGGTGGAAGAGATGAGAGAGTGATGTCGTGAAACTTTGTCGGTGGGAGCGAGGAGCGAAAGGTCAAAGTTTCGCTGAATGTGTGCATTAGGTCTAATTGTTGCCAAGTAACGAAAAGACAGAGGAAACGGACCTGGATAAGTGTCCCCGTAGACCAGAAAGTGTGACCACTTGAGTGTTTTCACGGGATAAAAGATCGCACATGACCACATGATCCGACATGAACTCGGGCGTGATCTTCTCCTGGCTCGAAGATTGCTCAAGCGGGAGTAACAGAGACGCCTATGAAACCGTTTATCCTTCAGCTCGATTGACACAATCGATGAATACACGCACCTTGCCCTTGGTAATAGCACCCCAGATTTCAGCCCACTCTTCTGTCTCACCATCTTGGCTCAGTTTTTCCAACATAGCCCAGCCAAGACATGCAGTATCGAGCCCAATGCCCTGTGCCGCGGCCTTGAGGTTCATCAGCTGAAGCTTGCTAGTCGCGCCGCCCGTAAGTTGGTGCTGCGGAGAGACTGAGACTGGCGGTTGGGCAGTGGTACTAGTCGTAGGCAATCTCTGTCTTGGCGTGTATGGCGCATACTTTGGTGTTGAAGAAGACTGAGTTTCTGGTGTGGGACTGGGTGAAAGGGAAGATGGACCAGCAGAGAGGAGTGGATGGGTGGTGAGATTGTCACGAGAGGCAGTCCTTGCAATAGATGCACCCTGGACGCGTCCAATCGAGGTGGCAGGAAAGTGTGCATCTCGTCGTGTAGTCATTATGGTGTAACAGTCGACGCAATTGAAGTCTATCCAGTGTGATGCGCAGTTGTAGTGATTGATCCTACATGCGAGCGTTGCTATGATAACCCGTCGACGATCTTCAAGCAAAGCTCAAGTCTACCAATGAACGCTGGACAAGCAACTAGAAATTTGTTGATAGCTTTGCGACAGTCAACGTTGGAAAGTGTTCACAGACACGCTTCAAGCAGCAGCCGTACTGTCCCCATAACCCTCGCCGAAAATAGTAATTTGGCCCCTGCGGAACTTGTTCTTGCATTAATGGTCGTGGATCTCATTTCAGCCTTATCGCCTTAGTCTTCCGAACCTTGGAACCTTGGAGGTCCTAAAATCACTGCCGTTATGAATCTCAATCAACCATATCGCCTCAGTCAGTTGAGGAAGTATTCGTCGGAACTTGAACTTGAGACGCGAAGGCTTGCCTCTTCTCTCTTAACTACATCTCGTATGTATGACAGGCTGCAATCTTTCCAGCCTATCTTTTGTGCGGCCACAATTCTTCTTATCGGCACTAAAATTGGTGCTCGTCACTTGAACGTTGTTCAGACTCGAATACTGCCTCATGACGGGGCCAAACAAGGCTCCGAGTTGGAAAAGAGTCCGCACACATAAATTTGGTCTGTTTCCACCTCTATTGGCTTTAGATGCAATCAGTTATACGACGGGCTTTAGAAAACAACTCTGTTGACAGCTTCATCGGCTCGGTGAGAAAGACACCACTGGTGAGATTTATCCCCGAAGAACTTGAAACGCCTCTCTAACAACAACTGTCATACTCAGATCCTCAAGACACTCTCAGAACAGGTGGGATGCAAAATTTACGGGAAGGCCGAATTTAAAATCCTGGAGGCAGTATCAAAGATCGCACTGCTGTCAGCATAGTTCTGGACGCAGAGCTTGAAGAAGGGTCGGCGAGTGCGTAACATGCTTCATGGCCCACGGAGTGCTGAGGACATGCGTACGTGCGCAGCCTAAAGCCGGCGTCGGTCTTGGATACAAATGTGTCGTTCATGCCTAATACTCAGGTGAAGGGAAAAATATTATGTGGCAATCGCAATCGTCTTCCTTGCTCATGCTATAGCAAAAGGAAGATTGACCTTCTCCAAATGCTCGGCGCAGAAGTGTATCCAGTGCCCAAAGTCCTACATGAATCCGTAAAGCTATAACCGCCAGGCGAAAGAGTACATCACGAAGCTCGAAAATACCATATGGACAGACCAGTTCGACAATACCGCCAATGCGTACGCGCATTATATCTCTACTGGACCTGAAATATGGCAACAGACAAAGGTTAAAATTCACGGTTTCGTTTGTGCAATTGGTACCGGTGGAACTCTGGCTGGTGTTGGCAAATACCTGAAAGAAAAGAGCAACGGTAAGACGCAGGTATGGCTCGCTGATCCGTTTGGCAGTGTCCTGTACAAATATGTTACCTCTGGTGGAACACTAGTCCGACGTTCTGGGGATTTCGTTAGAGAAGGTTATAATGTCCCTGTCTTGTAATCGAATCGTAACCGCTGAATGTCTCTATTGGGCAGGGTCGTGTTACAAATAACTTGGGCATCTTATCAATGACCTAGCGGGACAATTGCACATATTAGACGAGAAGTCGATATCTCGGCTTCTTCATTCAGAAGGCTTGTACCTGGGTGGTTCCGCGGCGCTTAATGTCGTTGCAGCCGCAGAACTTACACAAAAGCAGGACAAGGGTAAGCACAGCGATCAATTTCCCCGAGACCACACTCACTGGCAAGCCCATCTATCAGACTCCACAATTGTAACCATACTGTGCGATGGCGCATACCAATACCAGAGTCGTGTATTCTACAAGAAATGGCTAGTATCGAGAGGGCTAGTGGATCCAATACCGGAAAGTCTGAGAAAGTATGCGGTTCTAGATTCATTGTTGCTCATCAGCGGTAGTTTTCGATTTTAAAGATCACTGATTTCACACCAACGAGTCCCCAATCCGGCAACCCATTTTGACCTACACACTGTACACTTGCATGCCTTTCCTACATATCCCTTGACGATATCAGCTAGAGCCAAGGGTGTTCCAAGTCTCACTTCATTTGACCCTTGTCAATGTACATATATATAGTGGGGGGGTGATCAGAATCTGTCGAGACTACGTAGGAGTCCTACAGGTGACCTACTAGGAAGCATAAGATCTGCTGGAACCGGAGGAAATTATAATTACTTCGTATATTGACAACATGGTACTGCGAATACTTGAGTAACGTGAAAGCAAGGGATCATTTGAAGTGGTTACTGAGATGACCCTGGAGCGTGAATGAGATGTTCCTAGATGCGCTGGTTAGGTTGTGAGTATAGAATTTTCTTGGAAACACACGAACCATTGCAAGTCTCTGGCCTTCGGATAAAATAGTGAGGCAAGACGGCAGATCCTTCAAACACCACTGTCTTTCGAGCCAGGATAGGAGATGATGATTCCAAAAGAATTGAATATATGGGCAATCCTCTCGTCCCATGGATTCGGAGCTCGTGAGAGATGGACAGCCCAGTTTTGACATGCATATTTCAGGGCGCCGGAAACTGAGCGACTTTGTGCACGTGTTTCGTATGCGAAACTCGAAAAGGTCTCTATAGCACAGAAGACCTCCGGATGTGGAGAAAGACCTTGTGGTAATGCAAAGGTAGAACGGTCCTTGTGCCTTAACGCCAGGAATGCCGGGAACATCAAGAAATCCGGCAGTGTCTTGAATTGCTGGATTACCTGAAAAGCTGGCGGTAAAGGCAATCCTGGGGTAATTATGTACTCTCTAATTGCTTCCCATGTGTTTGAGAATTCTTCCATTGTCAAGCGCCAAGATAGCCCACGTGACATCAGCAGCCCGCCCTGCGGCCACTCTCGTCCACCAGGGGTTGTCAGCCTGTCCTGCCTGTCCGAAGTCTGCAGCAGGTATGACTTGGTCCAACTCCGAGCATCGTTGATCTCGTTCCCCCATTTGTGCTTTTGTACGTCAGAAAATCGACGTCGATTTTGCCGGGGCATTGTTTGCAGCCAGACTCGTTCGCCCGGGATCTGCAGCCAGACTCGTTCGCCCGGGGTCTGCAGCCAGTCTCGTCCGCCCTGGGTCTGCAGCCAGTCTCCACCACCATGGATCAGCAGCCAGTTTCCACCACCATGGGTCTGCAGCCAGTCTTCTCCACACTGGGTCTGCAGCCAGACTCGCCCCGCCAGGGTCTGCAGCCACTCTTCTCCACCTTGGGTGCACTGCCAGACTTGCCCGGCCTGTGTCTGCAGCCAGACTCGCCCATTCTGGGTCTGCAGCCAGACTCCTCCGCCCTGGGTCTGCAGCCAGACTCGTCCACCCTGAGTCTGCAGCCAGTCTCCACCTTGGGTCCACAGCCAGACTCGCCCGTCCTGGGTTTGCAGCCAGTCTCCTCCGCCCTGGGTCTGCAGCCAGATTCGTCCACCCTGAGTCTGCAGCCAGTCTCCACCTTGGCTCCACAGCCAGACTCGCCCGCCCTGGGTTTGCAGCCAGTCTCCTCCGCCCTGGGTCTGCAGCCAGTCTTCTCCGCCCTCAGGCTGGGTCCGCAGCCAGACTCGCCCGGCCAGGGTCTGCAGCCAGACTCGCCCGGCCTGGGTCTGCAGCCAGTCTTCTCCACCCTTGGGCTGCAGCCAGTCTCGTCCACCCTGGGTCTGCAGCCAATCTTCTCCGCCCTGGGTCTGCAGCCAGTCTTCTCCACCCTGGGTCTGCAGCCAGACTCGCCCGGCCTGGGTCTGCAGCCAGTCTTCGCCGCCCTGGGTCCGCAACCAGACTCGTCCGCCCTGGGTCTGTAGCCAGTCTTCTCCACCCAGGGTCCGCAGCCAGTCTTCTCCGCCCTGATTGTGCAGCCAGACTCGTCCGCCCTGGGTTTGCAGCCAGACTTCTCCACCCTGGGTCTGCAGCCAGACTCGCCCGGCCAGGGTCTGCAGCCAGACTCGCCCTCCCTGGGTCCAGAGCCAGTCTCCCCCGCCCTGGGTTTGCAGCCAGTCTTGCCCACCCTGGGTTTGCAGCCAGTCTCGCCCATCCTGGGTTTGCACCCACTCTCCCCCGCCCTTGGTCTTCAGCCAATTCTTTCCCTGCTGGATCAGCAACCACTCTTTCCCCCCGTGAGTTGCAAGCCAGGCACGCCCATCCAGCGTCTCTAGCCAGAAATGTAACTCTGAACCGCGATTTCCCCGAAGCCATATCAGAGCTATGAGCGCTCGCATTGGATCCGGTCGCTGAACCATGAAGGATAATGAGGGTGTTAAACTTCGTGGGTTGTGTGATTCCATCACTTGGCTATACCTCTTCAATGCTGAGAGCGCATTCAGCAGGCCAGAGCAATCCGGGATGTCTTGTACCATCAAATGAAGAGAGGAAACTGCGAGTAGGGAGTGGGGCGAAGCAATATACTGTACTTGACGTAGGGTGCAGTTTGAGCGGTGGGAAACATAATCACGGACAGACGAGTGATAGATGTTCACTGGGAAACGGCTGTCGCTAGGAATTTCTATGACAGACCGTAGTTGCACCAACACACTCTCGACGTCCCTGCCCTGACTAGGGCCAAGGAGTGTCGATATTTGCGATATCGGTAGGGGGTCTGCAAGGGCGCAAACAACGGACAAGTGCAGGTATGCCAGCGAAGGGTCGGCGCACGTGGTCAGGATACGGTCGTACAACTTGTACACCTCTGTTCCCGGTAGCAATTTACTCGTTAGCTCGAGCATAAGCTGAAGCCTGTCACGGGGATCATTGTGCCGATCATCAATGAACTTCATCATTGTCGACGCCACGATGAATCGTCTGCCCGCTCGGCTCGCCAGCCGCACAAGTTGACCCTTCGTTGGCTGCGGGAAAGTGGAACAGCGACTTCGCAATTTTCTGAAGGAATGCTCCAAGAAAAGATAGATGTCTTCGTCAACATCCGCGCCGTCTAGCGAGATGGTGGCAGCCACACCCTTCCAAAAAATCTTCACGGGTATCTCGCACACTGATGGCCACACATCTTCATTGTGCATGGCTTCATGAATATGTGCTTCGGATCGGCTTGTGACTAGAATGTAGGTCACAGGCAGACCAGGATCGCGAAGGGCTTCGACGAGTAGGGAGATGAGATCTGCCAGCTCGCTTTCGGATGTCTCTTCATCAAACAATTCGGATGTGGACTGATCGAGGGATTCTGGTGTGCATTCGTCGAGGGCATCGACAATGAACACCAAGGGCGGACACTCGCGCAGTCTGATTTGAAGCTTTCGCAAAGGTTGGAGAAACAACGCCTCCATCTGGTCGCGAAGAGATTTGTCGGGGTCTAAAAGGGCCGGATTGTCCAGGATAGCTCTGTTCACGTCCTTCCGGACGCTGGGAAAATTGATGGCCAGCTGGTAGGCAAGTGTCGCGAAGAAATAACCAGTCGTCCGGCGTTTCGTGTGCTTGCGCGAGAAAAAGAATGTCCCTGCAAGTCGCGTTTCTATTTTCGTCTCCTCTGTCATTTTCAGTCCTTTCATCCTTTCAGCTACAGTGAACGCAACAGCGGACTTTCCGACGCCTGCGGTGCCATGCAGCCAAATGAGTCGATTCTTGTCTTTCTTGTCCAATAATTCGTAGATGTGGGTGAGAACAGCTACACGGGTCCCTTTCAAACATTTGGGATGGGGCTGGCGTTCACGAGAGTCATGTTCGGCACCCTTGACAGCGACCTGGGACAACTTCTCCCAGGTTCCTTCGGACATATCCAAGAGCTGTTGATGAGTTCAGAGAACGGCAGAGTGGATAAGCGACAAATATACTGACATTGACTCCTTAACAAGGGTTGATGATAGATCATACACAGAATGTGAGGTGGAATGGAGTAACTCTGACATCAGTGAATTCATGAGTCCGTGATATTGCAGCCATGAGACCTATAGACCGATATAATTATGCTTTTGCCAGTTATATCCATCTATTGTATGAAAATTTTGGGTGGTTCATAAATGACCATTGATCCCTGCAAATTTATACTGAGAAGAGGCGTTAATGGGAAGGTTGAAGTATAGCGACATCATAGCAGGCAAGGCGCAGTAGGGCAGCAGCCTCATTATTCAGGCCCATTTTCATTTTGTCTTGCACATGTTTCATATTTCAAGGCTATACAAGGCATTCTAGTGGACAGCAGCTTTGGCAATGACCGCCAAGCTGACAGATCATGTGACTTAAAGCTTGATATTGTAGCCGTGAGAACGATAGAAATATATCATTATGCTCCTGCCAAATATGACCATTTACACTCGAAGAAATCTGTGTTGTTAATACATAGGCATGTATAAATGCAATTCTAGACTACAGTGAGGAGTTCATAAAAGTATCGCGACGTTGCAGCCTCACAGCCAGCAAGAATTTCTAGTGTAATTGTGTCCCCGGTACTAAGCATTTTCATTTGTCATTACATCCGATAAGGCTTTCTCCCGAAATGCAGCCTTACCACTGGGCGTTCGTTGAGCGCATATTTGGCTTTGAATCATGCCAATGATGATCGAATCTGCAATGAATCTGCATACTGCTTATTGCCGACCAAAGGGGATCGCTTGTAGATATATATCAACTACAGAGCACACACACAGCGGCAATAACAAGACACCTAAGAATGAAATCAGACACCATAAATGATAAATCAGCGAACTACCATAAGTCAAACGCCATAAATCAGGGATTGATCAGGGATCAAAGAAATATAAAAAAAATAAGGGAGGAAAGGGAGGCTGGGCATACAATGAGAACGCGATGCAATAATGCTGCAATACCATGAAACAGTGCAGATGCGTGAGGGAGGGGTATCATCTAAATATGACTGCGACGTTAAACGTCAGATCACTTGGTGTGTCAATATTCAAGAGAAAATATGTAAGCAGGTTTGTCCGAGAGCGAGCGAGCGAGCAAGTGGGAGAATGAATATATGCGGGCGGGGGATTAGTTGGGTGTGCAGGGGAGGGGCTAGGTCTAAGTTCAGTCGAGTTGTGTTGGAACGAGGTGAGGGTTCGATCTATGGTGTTGGAGCGCAGCGAGTCCATGCAGGAACAGCCCTCCTCGGCTTCTTCAACCCAGCAGCACTCACATTCTCCTTCTCATCAAGCTCACTAGGCACGCTCGAACTAACACTGACCCTCCTCGCACCAGTACCAATGGGCGTCTTCAAGTTCGACTCTACAGAACTCGTCGACACCCTCTGCGTCGTCATACCCAGTCCAAGCCCACTGGGTCTCGGAGTTGCGCCTGATTTGCCAAGCGATGACGGTGCGCGGGATGTAGATGAAGTTAGGGATGCGCGCGTGAGAGGTGTGGGAGTTGCGAGAAACGAACGAGGCTTAGGAGCTGGAGGACCCATTTTGCCTGGGGCGTTGGCGTTGATACGGGCGCTACGGCTGAGAGCGCTGAGACTCGCGCGGGGCGCTAAAGAAGGAGTATCCGATTTTCCATCTTTCGATGTGTCTGACATGGATGAAGGAGGCCGCGAGGACGAAGAAGGCGTTCCTACCATCGACTCGCGCCTCATAGGCCTGCTCGGAACAGGCGTCGGTGTAGAAACAGTCTTCAAGGAAATCTTCCTCTTGATCTATACATACCACATGAGATACGAAACCAAAGATATTGAGGGGGACTCACAAGTTCAAGTGATTGCTGCTTCGAGTCAAGAGCGATATTGAGCCCATTAACATCCTCCCGATCCCTCTCCCGCTCCTTGCGCAACTGCACAATAGTAACCTCGCGCGCAGCACTCGACTGCTGCATCTCATGCGCCGTCCTCCTCAACCTTGCAACGTCATCCATCAATGACCCCACGCGCTCTTTGCTGTTCACTAGCATGATGTCGCTCTCCGCCCGCTCCCGAAGCGCCACTTCAAGCTGAGAGCGCAAGTCTTTTTCTTGCGCTTGAAGATCTTGGAGGGTGCGCGTTTGGGAAGAGAAAGCACGAGAATGCTCGACTTTGAGGGTGGCAAGTTCTTCGCGGAGGGATTCGGCTTCGTCTCTGTGTGAGAGGAGGGTGGTGGTGAGGTTTGAGATGGAGTCGTCGCGCTCTTTGATGTTGGTTTCGAGACGGGAGATGTTTTCGTGGGCAAAGGTGAGTTCGGCTGTTAGGGATGTGATGTGGGTTTCGTGCTGGGAGGTGTTAGCAAGTAAATGGAATGAGTGAGAGGGACGGCGTACCTCTTCAGTGGTTCGGAGGAGCTCTGATTCGAGGTGGGCGCGCTGGTTCTCGCCTACACTCCATTCTTCTTCCATGTTCAGGAGCTTGTTTTCGAGAGCTTCGAGGTCGGATTTGAGGGCTTCGGTTTCGTTCTGGAGGTCTTCAATGTTGTTGTGAAGTTCTGGGGATTCTTGGTGGGCTGCGTCAAGGTCATTGTGTGCGGTTTCGATTGGATACGCTCCAGGTCGGAAGTCATGCGCTGGACTGCGTCGGCGAGGGTGTTCTTGTATATGGTAATCGAAGCTTGTGACTTAAGGTGTGACATGGCACCGTCACAATATTTGGGCTTCTTCCTGGACGAAGAACTGGCGAGGATAGGTGAGGTAGCGGTCAATGTATTGACTTGGATACGTACGCAACGGTCGAAATAGTAGATTTCGTAGTAAAAAATTGCAACGATAATAGTACACGAATGATACAGAATTGTGGTGTGTGGGGGATATACCCCGAATCAATGATCATTGGCGGTGTGTAGAGGAGATGCACAGCAGAGGAAAAGTATCACATGGGCCCACAACGGGATTGATCTCGACTTCTTGTCAGTGATTGGCGTGCTTGCACCGACAGAAGGAGGAGGCGTCGCGGACGTCGAGGCGACCGCGTGCCGCTGAGTTTGGCAGTGCGAATGTGTTTTTTGCTGCTGACACCCAACTTTCAACTTCTCAGATTCTGGCCGCCTAGCGACGAATAGCGGCTGCGCAGAAATCATCGAACTCTGGCCATCAGAAACGCACTTGAAGAAAGACTTACCTGTTTGTCGCGCATTCCTGTGATGTTCTGTGATGTGGTAGATCGAGAGAGATATAGCGAAAACTTAGGCAGTCGCTGATTCGAATATGTCTCTGTGCACTGACACAATGTAAGATGGCGTAGATCTAATCGCTTGGGTCCTTCAGAGGTTGGGTTGTCGGCCGTGAAGTCGGGTATCTAATAGGAAAGTTTCTCCCAGCTAAAGTCTGGAACAGGCGCCGGGACCCCGGAAATAGACAAACTGTCGGCTGCAAGCTGCAAGGAGAAGGTTCCGACTTGCACTTCAAGGGCAGTGGGGTTGACATATCTGCAAATGTGAGTGGATGTGAGTGGAGCCTCAAACAGACAAAGAAAAAGTCCGTGGTGAAGTGCATGCGTGTCGCCGACATCAGCGATCCATGCAAATAGCGTTGGAAAGCCTCTTGACAGGTGAGGGGATCGATGTCCCGCTCTCGGGCCTCTAAATGCGAGTGTGAGTGCGAGGAGGATGGGGATGGGGGTGAAGTGATGAAGATGTTTGGACTGTGTTCGCTTGGGATCAGACTTGGAGGTACGGGGGAGGGGGAGGGGCTCGGTGCGTTTAGCGCGTTGAGTTCTTGGATTAGTGTCGGTGATACTGTGTGCGTGGGTTAGTACATGGCAGTGCACAAGAAGGAGAAAGGGAAGCGCACCAGACCCGATCGCATCACATAACATCCTCACAATGCCAGTCAATCTCTCTACTTTCCGTCCTTCACGACACATCTCAGCGTTGTACATCTCACACAAAATGTTGCATAGACGCATGTCGAGAAACTCGGTGTCTCGAAATCTGTCTCGAAGGCAGTGAACGGAGTGGGTATGGTAAGTTCTGAGATGGCGTGCGCAGGAGGAATGGTGATTGTCACCTCTTGATGACCATTGAAGCTATGACGATCAGGAACCACGCCTTCTTGGCTAGTCCCACGAGAGGGCCCATCGTGCTGTTGCGAAGCACTTTGAGAAAGCGTGAGGGAGGAAATGCCAGAAGAGTAGGATATTGGGCTCTGTGTGACATGGAGAGGTAGCACGGGAGAAGGTAAAGGCTTTTGTTGGGGAAGAGTGATGGACACGGAGGGCGACTGCGATGAAAATGACGCTGATGGTGATTCTGGAACTGAATGCGTGCGCATCACGCTTATGAATAGATGATTCGAAAAAAGAAAACACAGTATAGCAACACACCTTGACCGTTTGAACTTGAAACATTAAGACTCTGCAACGCCCGAAGACCTTCCTTGCCCAATTCGCCCCAAGCCCACCCACAATCAATAATAGCCCGACAGAGCACCGAGACCTTCTCTTGTTATGCTGACCCCTCCTCCGCTTGCGATTATACTGTCTAATGTCAATCTCGCCTCCTCAGACTCGTCTTGGACGGAAAAGAGTCCGGCAGCGCGTAAAGCATCATAAAGTACCGCATCATCGTGCTGATCGAAGAGATCTAAGTTCTGACGGAGGGTTCCACTCAGGAGCTCGGGCTGTGCGGATGAAACGTGTCACCAACGTGAACGGGCAACGTCACAAAGAACGTACAATCTGAGGTATGATAGTCACGTTGGACCGCAGGGCATTCAAATTGATCCCGCTTGTCGGGATCCCATCATAATAAACATCGCCTTCTGTGAAGATGCAGCGAAGGAGCGAAAGCGTCAAGGAACTCTTCAGAATAGTCAATATAAGTCAAGGTAAATAACGCAAATAAACATCACCTTTCCGCTTCCAGTTCGTCCGACTGAATTCAGATTAGTGATTTGTCTGGAAGTGGAAGCAAGCCTGCGACACACCGATACCAACGCGTTCACCTGATTTGATGTGGAAAGACAGATCCTACAAAACTTTAGGTCCATCCTACGAGTGATGGTTAGGCAGAACGCGGAGGCTTGAACTAATACTCACCAATGAGTAGCGGGCTGACAGATTGTCTACTCGGATATCACCGCTTGCAGGCCAGTACGCAGGCGGCTGGCCGCCTTCGGTAGGTTTAGGCTCCTGTTCAATCTTGATATAACTATCGATCCGTTCCAAACTATTTCACATAAGCAACAGTCGGAGACATCGTATGTCTGTGCTAACCTGTTGCCTACACGAATCAGTTAGACGCAGAAGGAGTGGCACGAGAAAATAGCTCACCGCTGACTTCCACTTCGTTGAGGATACGAACCCACCAAAGGATCATGGAACTGAAACCGACTTCAAGGTGTAAGCGAAAATCCGCAATGGGTACACTACGTAAATGGAATTTACCTGCCATGTTCAGAGAGAACCCAATGTTCGACGCCTCATGAATTCCGCGACCATACACAAGATAAGCGGCAAGACCAGCCGAGGATACACCACCGATAACATCAATACGGACACAAACCCAACTGAGAACATTCGTTAGCGACCAATCGCCCGCAGCCAATGCAGACGAACCGGTTCAAGTTATAGAACATGCGCCCTGATTTGGTGTAGCGGTCGATGCGATTAAGAGATTCTTGTTTAAATTTATCCTCTGCACTGTACGCACGAATCGATGCTGTCGTAATGAATGAGCTCGCATATCATAGAAGTCCCGGTGATCGCTCACTAAGTCCTGCGATAGCAGCCCCGAAGTGACCAAGGACCGGTGCTTTCGCGTTGCTCATCTCTCGCTTGACTGATAGTTGAGCTTTCATGTAGATGCGACCGATCCATCCACCTAGCAAGCCGATAAAGAGACCGGGCACCAAGAAGATGGGAGTCATGGCCACAACGGCTCCGAGTTTCACGATCATGGTCAAGGAAAGTTCGACGACCCAACCAATTCCCTGTGCAAACGGACCATCAACTAGATATTTTATTAGCAAATATTGACCATGTATAAGCAAGCGACTGACTGGCTCTTATGAGCGTCGTCCGCACTCCATTTGACGTCAAAGATACCATTGTCATGGGGCTCGAGAGTCACTCGTGGTGGTTCTTGATTTAAGTCAGTACCGGTCACCGCCGAAATGACGCGATTGAAACCTACCACAATCCCATTCTTTCCGTTTGGTTGTGTCGAGTATGTTGATGGATCCCTGCTCTGTAGCAACGGCAAGAAGGGGTACGCCACCACCTTTTGCACCTGTAAGAGAATTTAGTCGTAATACTGATTTTCAAAAGGAAAGTCGTGCCATTGGAGTATGCACAGGCGTAAGGGGGTGTGACGAAAGAGTCAACTGTTCTTGAATGACATTTGAAAACCTGTGTGCACCGAGTGATGACCCGAGATGTAGGTGTCGTGTCCAGCCATCTGTCCAATGATGAATGGAGGCGTGACCGTTAAATTCAAAGAACACACCTTAGCGTTGTTCCAAGTACAGATTGAATGAGTTTCTTGTGGATGGTTCGTGACGCCCGCATTGAACCCCGATAGTACATGTAATACCCACTCGAATACATGAGACAGCCAGAGACCATGATCAAGGCATATACAGAGAGATAACTTGCGATAACGTTAATAACAAATCCACGAACGGAAACTTTTCTTACAATTTAACATTGACCTCCGAGGGTAGATGGTGTTCGTATTGAGATGCCCAGTACCCAAGGAACCAGGTTTGCACAGTGTTGGCGAAGTCCGTCAACCCCATCAGAAGCAAGAACGCGACCCAGAATGTCATAGGATAATTCCCCCCCAAGCAGGTGAGGTAGAGCTTGACTGGAATGCAATGTCAGCAATGCACCGAGGATCGTGGAGGGATGAACCAACAAGCTGGCCAGGAAACATGGCCTTCTGCAATTTCCTCAGACATTACCAACTTGCCGTCGGACTTCGCCGCATCACCCTTCGGTTCTTCTAGAGTGTCCATAACCTCGGCCTCTTTAGCAAGGACTTCCTGTTCTTTTGCCACTTCCGCTGCAAACTTGTCGTCCTTTGCAATGGCCTCCGATATCGATCCATGGCTGACAATCCGTCCGTTGGAACCCAGAGACACGGCGAAGTGCGCTATCGAGCTCGCCATAGCAACGTTATGCGTCTGTACTGCCTTAGAACGGGCGTCATCATATTTGACCTATATGCACATACCACAAGGATAATTGTTCGATCTTTGACGAGATCTCCGGCGAAACATTTGTCTACAATCCACTTGGACGTGTGGACATCCAGAGCGGCCAAAACCTGTTCGTGTTTACTCACTGAGAATTCAAAATAGAGATGGAATGACTAACATCATCAAGTAGCAGCGTGTTTGCCAAAGAATATATAGCTCTTGCGAGGGTGATTCGTGCCTAACATGTTTCAGCAGCCGCGTGCCTTCTCGTGAGGAATGTAATTACCTTCTGACCACCACTTTCCACGCGAAGTCAGACTTGTGACAAACGAAGGCCCAGCTCGGTGAGCTTACCTTAGCGTAAGACCCTTTTCTCCAACTTCCGTTTGGTCGCCCGCTTCGAACAAAGTAAGGTCTCGCTCCAGAGCACACTGGTGCAAGACTGTGCTCAAACATGTCAACAACGTTCACAAGTCGCGCAACTGAATACTCACCTGTCTTGTATCGAATCTCATCATAGGGTGCGCCAAAAAGAATGTTGTCCTGAGAGCTACTTCAGCACACGAACAACTGCTTTTGCGATGTCACGTACCCGAATGGTTTCGTTTTGGACCCAGGACTCTTGCGCGGCATACGCTACACCGCCTTTTGCGAAGGAGGTTGAACCAAGATGTTGGACCAGAGGGCGTGAAGTGCATCTCGCCTGAGTAATAAATTAGAAACATCCACAGAGAAGGTCTGACAATCACCCACCGAGCAAAGCCATGAGCACTGATGTCTTCCCAGAACCTGTCGGTCCGACGACAAGGTTGATACAACCGTGTTGGAAGTACATCTCACCGTCGATGCAAAGTCTGAACTTGCGCTTCGACGGTGTCAGCGACCCACCGGAATCATTGGACCATGCAAAGACAGCGTCTCTGAAGCCGATGAGGTCAGATTCTTCTTCTGACTGGATAAAGAGCTGGACTCTGTCCTCGTCCTGCTGTGTGTATGCATCCAATAGTTCTGTATCAGTCAGGAAACTATTGACACGATCCAGCGATACTTTGGCTGAAGAACGTCGTTTGTCAGTGATTTTGGAAGGAAACGAAATAATTACCTTGGGTAAATCTTGGGATGGAGAAGAACACCATGTTCAGCTGATCTCTTAGGATGTCAAAGACTGCCAGAGGAACGACATCAGTTACTCCAATCAAGTGGATAACAGTACGAAGCTTACTTGACATCGACGAAAAAACCTTTGAAGCTGGAATGCCCGTCAGGTCAATAAGTAACAACACAACCCATAGCACTAACCGGTTAGGTTTTGCCCCATAAGTGTCTAAGAGAGAGGGTAAGAAACCTGTTTTGCGTGTAATCGAATGCAACATACGAATGCCATGTAAGAAGCCATCATGGTAAACATGGGTATTACGTAGCTATCCATGTGTCAGTTTTAGTTGTCGGACCATTTAACAAGGAAGACATACTTCAAGTTGTTGTTTACCAGTTCTAAGATCTTCGTCTTCCATGTCCAGACAAGTTCTACTTCTCGTTTCTCGCTGATCCTAGTGTCTATTTTCTCTTCCCATCCGAAAAGCTTGATCATGCGCAGTACATTCATAGCTAGCGAGCCATACGCGTCACTTCTACACTATTATGCTGGACTTACTTTCGGTCACGGTTTGCACCCGGGCATCCGTCTGAGGTTACAATAAGCATCATCGACCGATAAATTAAAAAAACGTCCAACCTTGTGCATTTTTTCCACCTGCACGTTTTGGATCTTCTGGGCAACGTACCCAGGGAGAGGGAACAGGAGAATCATAACAGCCAAGCCAGCAAAGGCACTTGGTAAACGGCCATCAGTCAAGACAGACAGCAGTTTAACGATACCCACCTCCAGCCAAGAATTTCGTACAAGAACCAGATGCACATGCCTACTTGAAGTGGCATGTACAACGCTGAGCGAAAACACGTCAGAAAGCATGAATAAAATAACCGTACGCGATCTGCCATCACTGGGTTCGCTCACCATCCGAAAACAGACAAGTCATACTCGAACTGTGCGCAGCTTACATAATCATCTGGTGGACTATTGAACTGCTGAAATAGTAAATTGACGCTGTTCCTCGACATCAACATCTAAAAATCAGAACACTTACTCTATGGCTTGGATTCACAAAGTACGGTAAGTAATCCATCACGAAAAAAAATCCGATTACGCGTGTTGACTGCTGAATCGATGATCAGCACCAAAATGGTTTGGATCGAGATAGAAGCCCAGAGGAGGGCGGCAGAGAGAAGGACGACGGAGAGAGGAGTGGTGGCGAGGAAGAGGAAGAGGTTAGAGATCACACAGAGACCTGTGCAAGAGGTCAAAAGTGCGGGAATACTGTCAAAGTGCGGGGGTTGGCTGTTGAAAGCGCTCGGGTTGAGGCGAACACGATCAGACTGATGGTAAGTGTTTCGTGATTGGTAATCGATTGAGATTGACCTACGCAGGGCATACATCAATCTGCTCGATCTCCACGGTGAAGTCACGCTCGCCAACAGTGAGATTGAGAGGTGTGGCGCATTCGAGAGATGTGGTGATTTCGGGAGGGAAGGTGATAGTGTTGTCCAAGTCTTCGTCATTGCCTAGGTGGTCGAAACGGAAGGAGTTTATCTGCAATGTGATCTAATGGTGTGGGACGATGCATATGACCAACCGGGCGCAAAGCCAGTGTGAAGTGTGAGAGCGTCATCCAAGTCCTGGTCATTGCCTCGGCGATTGAAGTGAGTGAAGAGTCTATTTGCAAGGTTATTTAATGACGTGGACGAAGCTGTGTGACAAACTGGGGTACAAAACCAGTGTTTCCCTGTGAAGCACGATAGCGTCGTCCAAGTCTTGGCCATTGCTCAACCGCCTGCTTCGCCACGATACTCTCAGCCTCTTTTCTGCATGGGGTGCCTTGACGACTTCTTTTTCTCTCTGCACAAATTCTTCTTGCAGGCGAGCTCGTTCCCCTTCCTCCAGAGCTCGTTCCCTTTCCGTGGCTTCCATCTGCAGGATTAGAGCCTCGATGAGCTCAGCGCCTGCAGAGGTCTTCTTGATGTGCTCGTGCTCGGTCAGGCGCTTGGAGGGATATAAAACGACGATAACCCTGATCAACCAGGATGCGTTCAATCTGCCAATGATGACAGGGTTCCCGAATGGGATGCGAAACGACTGGAGTTACCCCCGTGTACTCTTGCGGGTGCTACCGGCGCACGAAAGTCGAATCTGCACTTGCAGATGTATCTGAACAGGACCAGAGACTTGAGCGGGTACAGTGGCTACCTCTACACTCGATAAGGGTTATTCAAGTTCTTCCAGGATGTTGACAGTTGGAGGCCGCAGCGGCGAAATTTGGCCCCTGAAGCGTAAGAGGTCCAAGTCAACCCGTCGTTCACCTGCTCATTGCCGACCAATGATGACATCCGACACCTGACTTTCCGGAGTACGAAAATCGGTAGCTTGGTACCAGCCGTTCCTCGAATATTGTCGTAGTACCCAGTTACAGATTGCTGCAGAAAGGGCAATTGGTTCAACCCGCAGAATTTGGTGGCTAACGTCCGTGGGATCCTGCGAGTGCATAGTCTGGTAGTTAGGGTATGCGGCCGCATTGAACGCTGTCCCGGCATTAGAAGCCTCATGCTGTGGGTTATGATAACCAGAGGAATAATCGACCCCAGTTTCGACGCCAGGCTGGTACCGGGTACCACCAGCGGGCTCCTGCAAGCGGAAGGTAGTATGATAGATAGACGCCCCCGCGCTGAGCGTTGGGTTACCATACACCAGGGGCTGGTGCTGGCTACCACTTGCCACTGGCTCTTGCAAGCGGAAGGTAGTATGATAGTTAGACGCCCCCGCGCTGAGCATTGAGTTACCATACACCAGGGGCTGGTGCTGGCTACCACTTGCCACAGGCTCCTGCAAGCGGAGGGCATGATGGATAAAGGCGCCCGTGTTGTGCGTTCTCGCCTCGTGATTAATATCAGAGGCCTGCGACGCAGGCTGGGATTCCTTGTCCTCTAATTGAAACCCGAAATTCGGGCGACCGCTGCGCCTCATAGGGTGACTGAGGCCGCCCGCCGGTACCGTGTTCCATTGCGGTGGCTGAGGCAGTGGTAAGTGGCTAGATGGGTAACCGGCACCGTGACTTGGTCGATGCCCGGGCAATTGGCCTGAGCGACCGCTATGTCGGTCAGCTGGCATTTCGTCGAACAAATTCTAACTGTGCGCGGTCAGTCCGTGATAATAATAGCATGAATTGCCTACTAGCAGCTGTGCTTACCTGTTTGGACGTTGATTTGAGGGGAATCTTCGAATCAAGTTGGAGGCAGCAACTTTTGGATGTGACACAGTCAGTACAGATGGTTGCAAGATTGCTGCAGGAAACTCACGAGTTTTGGGCGTTCAAGCTGGTATTTGACTCATGCCACTTGTAGCTGTTGACGATGCGATCCATTATCGTGATGTGATCTTAACGTGGTCAGCTGGTTTACTAGATACTTACTCGTCTGAAGCTTCTTGCACTTACCTCGAGGCCGGCCCCTGAACAATTGAATGGAAAAGTACCAAAGGAATTGTTGGATTAATTCCCGCTGTGATTAGCAAAGTTCATTGAACTAAGACCTCAACTAGGCTTTAGTATCGGTTCAGATTGAAATGGACTGAGTCGGAGTGGTCACCCCACCGCCGCTGATTCCAAACAAGGTAGCTAGTACCATTGCCGCTAGCCTGTTTGCTGTGCTCGCTCGGAGTTCTAGTTCTAATGACGCGCTATGGGAGCGGTCAGTAAGCTCCAAAATCGGGAGCCTCCAGTGAACCATTTCAACAGATTCTGAACCACTGTGCCATACCACTGGCATCTGACATGATCCTATCATGGACAGCCGCTTTTCTAGGTGCTTGATCGTTCAATGCTGTTTGCACCATCCTGTAGGTCAGCCCCTGAACAGCTTGATTGGTAGAAAAGTCACCATCGAGCGTCATATCCACGATGTCTAATCATCTGGATTATATTATACCTGACTTGAAACGACTTTCCGATCAGCATTTGCAGATCTTCTCTTTTTTTGAGTTGCAGGCGCATTCCATCTCTTGCCTTTGAAACGGCTATGAGAGTCGTTGATCGGAGCCCTGGATATGTCAGTCAAAATATCGTATCATTAAAGCGCAACGAAGGACTAACAAACACCACAGACGCGGATGAGCTTCAGGATTGGATGATACCGTGAATGATGACTGTGGATGCAGGCAGAAGCAGAATAATAGTACAAAACAAACAAACAAACAAGTATTGTCTGAGCGCGTGACGTAATTATGACCCAGCTGACAATAACTATCGGATCGCCAGAGCAGGAATCAATTAATCAGGGATCGCATAGATGACTATCGTGAGCGATTCAGGACAATCTGGTGGAGGACCTCTTCAAAAGCACTCGTTTGCTTCAGGTTAGTCATTCCCGAATCTTGCTTTTAGGGCTTCAATACACGTCATGGACATGTGATAAATAAAGTAAAAAAAGCTACATGTTTGGATCTTCGTGCTTGTACGTTCAGCAACTGAATCTAAGAAATGCAGCACGAACCGTGTAGATCACATTTGATATGGACTATTAGATTCTTTCCGCGAGCTCCACTCCAATATTCGCTTGGTTTGGGTTCTGATGCTCAGCAGGGCAGCTTATTTGAAGAAACTCAAAAAGACAAGTCATCAAACTCGTTACCGTCACCTCCTTCATCTTCGTTATCTCCCCCATCTTCGTTATCTTCCCCATCTTCATCTTCCAACTCCTCGTCGCTAAACGCATAATCACCCTCCTGCTCATCATTGAATTCCCCGAGGCCCTCACCATCATCGACCTCCTCGTGGTCTGCATCATCGTTTACAACATCCATGGCGTCAGCTGGTGCCCCCGAGCCAAGACAATCTCTAGTTATCTTCCGAATGCTGACCGGATGTCCAACACCAAAGGGGTTATATCGCATAAACATATCGCGATCAACAAATCTGACCCAAAAGTCGAGGGTCAATTCACAATAGGAAGTATAATCCGTACTCACATTCCCACATAATGTTCCTCCCAATCATCCACCTCCCCTCCAGGACGTGCTAATGACACATATTGCAGTAACATATCTCCGTATTATACGAGTGAACGGATGTGCATAATATCCCGTATGATACGGGCCAGCGGACCATGGGCCGAAGTTAGATATATCCTCGATTATGACGGATGGGCCGGGCATGTTATTATTCCCGATAGAGACGGGTGGGCCCATGTAGGGAATATGTAGAGTAGATGAGTGGGCTGATGGACATGAAATATTCATAGACGGATGGGCCGAGGTAGTGGGATATTATGTAGATGGGTTTACCAAGGTAGATGTGTAATCAAATAGCCAGGTAATGTCCTCGATTATGACGGATGGGCCGGGCATGTTATTATTCCCGATGGAGACGGGTGGGCCCATGTAGGGAATATGTAGAGTAGATAGTGGGCCTGATGGACATGAATATTCAATAGACGGATGGGCCGAGGTAGTGGGATATTATGTAGATGGGTATCAAATAGCCGGGTATGTCAAGGGTGCTTGTTATCAAATAGACGGGTGGGCCCAGATATATATCATATTAGATGGGTGGGCCGACGAATTAAGATTATTTTGTAGACGGGTGGGCCGACATATTGGTACCATTTTTTAGACGGGTGGGCCGAGGGAGTGGTGAAATATTTATTGGATATACGGGTGGGCCGAGGGAGCTGTAAAGTATTTATTATGTATACGGGTGGGCCGAAAGTAGTCATATATTGGATATATGGGTAGGCCGAGGGCGAGGTGAATTATTTATTAGATAGACAGGTGGGCCATGTTCGTGAGTCGCTACCTGCTAACAACTTCGGGTGTCATTTTTTCCTCCCCATAACTGCTCACCAGAAATTCTGAGATGGAGAATAAAGATAAATTTGATAAATACCTCATCCAAACACTGGTCATGACATGGGGTATATAATATAGGGGTGCGCCGAGGGAGCTGTAAAGTATTTATGATGTATATGGGTGGGCCAAAGGTAGTCAGACTGCGCTTCGGCCGGATACCTGTCGGATACACTACAGTATATAAACCCTTTGTAACCTGTAGTATTTCCTGAGTTCGAATATTAACTTAGACTCTGTTCAATCCTCGTGTTCTCTCGGCTCTTAGGATTATTATCCTAGTCCGATCCTCCGAGCCTCGGGATTATATCCCTAAGGCTAAATACCTCCGCCTCTACCTTCGGGTAGTCTATACCTTGTTAGTTTCTACCCGGACGCAGTCTCGGGTAGTCTTCCCTCTTTCGTCCGGCCCGTCCATACCCCTCGGCCGATGATATCTACCCCCCCCTGTAAATTAGGGGCACGTACTCGGGTAAAGAGCGCAGCGCACGAGCTGAAGCTAAGCCCCTCCGGTCCGACCCGTTGAACATGGTCTTAACAATATGGGTAGACCGAGGGTGAGGTGAATGATTTATTACATAGACAGGTGGGCCGACGTAGGGAATATTAGATAGACAGGTGGGCCATGTTCGTGAGTCGCTACCTGCTAACAACTTCGGGTGTCGTTTTTCCTCCCCATAACTGCTCACCAGAAATTCTGAGATGGAGAACAAAGAGAAATTTGATAAATACCTCATCCAAACACTGGTCATGACATGGGGTATATAATATAGACGGGTGGGCCCAGGAGAATGATAATTGTAGACATGATGGAGCCCAGGTAGTTGTATATCATCCAAATCAAAGAAGGTAATAACACAAAGTCATCTAATGATGTCGTATGGCACTGTTCCAGGCCCTGTTCATCAAAGCTTTGAGATGGAAGAGGAAGGTCTTGCAGTATGGCACGGAGATCTGCAAAGGGGTGAAGTGGAAACTCGAGCGGTGTACCGAGTTCCGGGACCCGGGTCTCGACAAACGAATATGTGATATGCATCACACTTCCAATCATCTGGTATTTCATTGAGCAATGGATGATAATAGATCTTTGAGAGCCAACATCATCCAAGCCTACCACATGCCAAATGCCAAGTTCCGACTACCGAAAATCGAGTGAAGTGTACCTGAGATCCGAGCCCCGACTATCGAATCCGGATGATCGAGTATCAAGTCCCGACTATTGAGTCCCAAACATCGAGAGACAACTCAAAACTCAAAACACAAAATGTGAAAACCATATTTTTACACGTTTTGAGTCCCGAACATCGAGTCCCAACCATCGAGACCCGAAAACCGAGAGTCGAGTTCCGGCTATGGAGTCCTGGGTATCGAAAATTGAGTGAAGTGTACCAAGATCCGGGGCCCGGGTCTCAACAAACGAATATCAGATATCCAACAGACTTCCAATCATGTGGTATTTTGTTGAGCAATAGATGATAATAGATAATAGAACTTTGAAATCTAAGATCATCCAAGGCTCCCTTATCTGATCCTCTCTATCTCCACCCCCTTGAACACCAAAGTGCGGACATCCAGGGTTCAGCTTCTGATCTCACAAGATCAATTCAATCATGGATGTTTCTTCCACTTCCGAAGATGAAATAACCATCTTGAACACTTGGGCCCTGGGTGTCACTCATGTGGCATGTGATTATACCGAACAGAAATTCAATGCAGAGAAGACAGGAGGAGACCCAGTCATACCTTCTCCGAACCTAGACACTGATCTGGTGATGGCTTGTGATCAATTGGTTGATCGGCTCATAAAGGCATATAAAAATCCCAGTGAGTCTTCCTGCAGATTCGGAAAATTCGTTTGATCAGTGAAATTGCTTCATCACAGTTCAGATGCCTATGGATGTTGCAAGATATAGCAAATTGATCTCCCCGAAGGACACAGGACATAATGAAGAGAGAGAGGCGAGGTTGCTGGAGAGGTGTCCTCCTGGCCATGAGGGCACAAAGTTGATCGACGTACCCGCGACAATTGTTGATGCCTCCGGTGCAATCATCGCATGGTACCTCCCGGACGCCCTGACAGATGCCACCCAGGTGTGTTATATATATTGCTACTGGATGGATATTGAACCTCAAATGGTACCTACAGAAGGAAATTTGGGCGGCCTCAGATTTGCTTTCTCCCATGCTCGGAAAAAGTGTGAAGCTCGATGGGATTTGGCGTACAAATCAAGAGTGGTTCAAACCAAGCTCAGAAAATGATGTCCTGACTCCCGGATGCGTCAATCTATCTCCCGCGTGGTTCCAACAGGGGCACGAGGTAGGATCTGACAAGATGACAATCTGGGTAGTGAGGCTGATGAATCCCCTAGAATCAGGTAGACCCGGCTGTTTCTGCATCATTGAATGGAGCATCCTCGGAGGATATCCTGAAGGCCATTGCGAGGCCAGCAGCCATTGCAACAGCGGCACTGAGGGTCATGCATCCTGAGCAGTACTGGGCAGGGTTACGAGCATTTTCGAGCCTCGGAGAAAAAGCAAGAAGCAAGGAACTGCCGAAGATGTCAGAGACTCTCCAGTACTGGGCAACAGTGTTTAACAGCCTCACCGTCATTTGCAATCGGGAAACCCCGAATCATCGAGACCATTCATCGATTCCCGAGTGCTTCGATATTCTCACTAGTGTTGGGAATTATACTAATGCTCGGATGAGCATGCCAAGCCTTCAGCTGGAGTTCATGTACGATCCGGGCTGCATGATTGCTTTTTCGGGAAGGATTGTGAGACATGGGGTTCATGCAGTGGAAGGGGATCGAATTGCCTGGGCATGGTATATGAGGGATGCTGTTCATGTTTATGCCGGGATTCCATCATGTGGATGGGCAAGGTTGGATTGGAACAAGTAGAAAAGGTAGTTACCTGTGTTAGTACCCATTTTCAAATACATGATATTAGATCTCAGGCACTGCTTTGAGTCTCGAATGTTGGGCTTCGGGGTTCGCGGTTCGGGTCTCGAGAGCCGGGATTCGATTGTCGGGACTAAATAGTCGGGGTGCGGGGTTCGGGACTCAACAGTCGGGCTTCGGGTTTTGAGCCTTGATAGTCGGGCTTCAGGGCTCGGGACTCACTTGTCAGGACTCGATAGTGCCTCGATTGTCGGGACTAATTAGTCAGGGTGCGGTGTTCGGGACTAATTGTCGGGGTGTGGGTTTCGGGACTTGAGAGTCGGGCTTCGGGTTTTCGGGACTCGGTTGTCGGGACTCGATGGTCGGTACTGCATGTTAAGGTATTCATATTTGGGATTCGATAGTCGGGCGTCGGGTTTCAGGGCTCGCCAGTCGGGCTTCGGGGCTCGGGACTCGGTTGTCAGGACTTGATATTGACTCGATGGTCGGGACTGCAATGTTCGGGTATTCATATTCGGGACTCGATAGTCGGGCTTCGGGTTTCGGGCCTCGCCAGTCGGGCTTTGGGCTCGGGACTCGGTTGTCGGGAGTCGATATTGACTCGATGGTCGGGACTTGATGGTGGGTTTCGGGTTTCGGGCCTCGATGTTCGGGTTGTCATATTCGGGACGCGGGTATCACGACTCGAGAGTCGGGCTTCGGGTCTCGATATTCCCGTAAGTGCATTTTATACAGAATTTAGACTTCATTCTGAACTGAAGGACTACAACTACTCCGGTCCCCTAGGCTTCAATTTGGTTAGGACGGCTGTGTACATCTCAATCTCAGCCATCTTTTCGCGGATGCCATCTTGTTGATCCTGAATCACTGTCAGGAGGCGTTCTCTCATCCACCTCAGTGCCTTCAGTGATGCAACCGAGGTGTCAGCCACCTTCTCGGGAACAACAATACGTTCATTCTCAACTCCTGACTAGAAAGGATTAGTTATCACCCAAGGAAACTTTGTAAAGGTCTTACAAGCCAATACTGGTAGTGACATATACAATTAGCGAATACCAGATCCCATTCCCATACTTCCTGTGGGATTTCAGTTGTCCCGGTCCACCATTGAGCTCCATAGCATGATACAATCCGGGAGGGATCCCCCAGATCTGAATCATCATGAAACTCGCACAGGTGGGATGAAAAGACGTCGTCCGGAACCATGTTCCAGGTGAGCTCGGGAATCAACAGAAGAATATGAGTGACCGGGCTCGGAACAACCAAAATGATGTGCCTGGCAGTTGAGTACTGCAGGATGGGAGTCACAAAAGTCTGTTGGAAATGTCAGCATTGACCATCACAGTCATCAGTCTCTTACAGATATCTCCCATTGCAGCCCGGCTTTGAAGTGCATGATCCGAGCAGCAGAAGGCTCCTTGGTGTGGGCAGCCTCCATCTGATATTGAGATATGCAGGCTCGGATCCGAGATCCAGCCATTGCCATTGTAGCTGCAAGATCTGCCTGAGTGAGTGTGAGGGGTTTGAACCCTTTGCCGGAATTCTGAGAATGAGAAGATGATGCAGGGGGAGGATGCACTACAGACATGCTTGATGCAGTATTATGAAACTGGAAATGACAATCACAATGGCAGTTGGTTCGGAGGTCAAGATATGAGCCACTGGTTGATGGATAAAATTTTTCAAACTCCGACATGGGTTGATCCGGGCAAACTCAGATAGGGGTCGACCCGGCCAATTCCCGGGATTGAAATGTGTGGGTCCAAGTAGCTGTTTCATATCTATGGCAAAGAAAATTCATTCATCTCGAGCCTCTATAAACCCGCCCTTCAGGTCTTGAAATGCTGCCTGGGCATCCTGTGCCAGCAATGAATACATTTGGGATTGCCTTCCCGAGTAGCATGCATGACCCGGAAGGTGTTTCACCAATGACTCGCGCATCCTGTCACCCCATTGGGTTGCTTTCCACAAGAAAAAGTTGTATGTCCAATCCATCTCCAATTCAACCAACATCATTTCTTCCTTCCATCTATCTCGTAGGGCCTTTGCCCGAAGCCAATGCACTCGGTAAACTTCGCATGGGTCCGTCAGCTGAGCAGGGGATATGTCAAGCATGCATAAACTCACATTCCTGATTCCACGACTGATCAGGACCCCCCAGGTCAACTTCGACAGACCAGAACCAAGCGAGGGACTCGTTTCGCTGACCTCGGGCATTTGGATCGCCGACGGCAGTGCTGATTTTGAGCTGCTCGCGAAGCAGGGGTTTGTATTTCTGCACCTGGTCTTCGCTCGGCTCAAGTTGCATCATTTGCTTCCTTGTCTTCATATATATACTTGCATGCAGGGACACTGCCTGCTGCACGGACGTCACCTGGGACCAAGCTCGAGTTTTTAGGGCCTGGGATTTCGCTTGCCTAACTGTCGTTCGGAACAGAATCGCCTTGTTGCACAAGTGAATTCGGAGGTTGTGAAGGGAGTCGTTGGCCTGCCCTTCACGAAGGGACAACTCCAGCGGAATGAGATCCTCTGCCATGCAGTGTCTGCATCGATCTACCCCAAGGTTTGATGGCAATGGGATTACAGTGAGCTCGGGGGAGTTCGCCCACGTGTCAGATGTCTCTGTGAAGTCTGTCGAGTCATCATCGAGATCATCGAGAATGTCTACGTTCAAGTCATCAGGATCGTCATCTGCATCAAATCCCTCTCCGAGATGAGTGATAGCAGACCGAGTGAATCCATCTATCTGTCCTTGGAGACGATCACGTTGCCGGGCGATGTCTAACCTCTGTGTCTCGGTAGTTCTTCTACCAATTCTTCGGATCTCGATGAGCAATGCGATTTGAGCTTCTTCAATCGCCAACCCCATTGATATCCATGTCGCCACAGATCTACGAGCAGGCGCTGCATTTCGGGCATTACCCTCCTCCAGTAGTCTAAGCTCGATCTCCTTTTTGCTCGGTGCTGAGTGGAAAATTAATTCGGACTTTGATGAAGACACAGTCAACTTACCCTTCTTGATATTGATCTCATATACATCCATAGCCGAAGGATCATTTATTCTGCTGGACTGAGCGATGCTCTCGCTGGCTAACCATTCTGTCTTTGAATCGCCGGGTGCGGCTTCGTCGAGTCTCTCGAAAGCCTTTTCGCTTTCGGCGATGCCATTCTTCGCCTGCTTGTATTTACGGGAAAGGGTCCTTTTCATGCGGATCATCTTGCAGAAATTGGAATCGTTCATCTGATAATCGAGACATTCCTTTCGATGCGGGGATGACATTCCACGGGCAGCAGGAGAAATCAGGTTAAGACGTGACCATAGGGTCTCCATGATCTCTCCATCGATCCGACCGATGCCTTCAATAAAATTCGACGCATATCGGACGTAGCAGCTGTCCTGATGTCCGTGTATGTGCCACAACCCGATTCCGGGAATGATGGTCAATTCTGGAACCATTTCGAGAAATCGGCTTCGATCCACCCGAGCCCGAAAGTGTTTGTTGTATTGACAGTTGATATCATAGAAGGTGACCGCCCTGGTTATGCCTTCCATGTTGTGGTGGGCAGCCTCACAAAGGGCATAGTCCATGTTCATTTGTCTGGGAATGATGCATGGTTAACTCGTGAATGTCGAATGGCAGGGTGGGCTTGCCTTTCGCCTTTCTGAAAATCTACCATCGAGTGAGGAACAAAGCAGCCGTGTCGAGCACAGGCTACTCCCCCGATGCCTGTGGATTCCAGTTTGTGCCGAGCCGCATTTGCTTGATTTACTGCCCGGTGATTGCTGCAGCTTGATTTTTCTAAAGTGTCGGCAGCCTCTGCGAGATGAGTTTTATACCTGTCCTTTCCCACCATGAATCCCAACCCATCTGACAGCCAAACTTCATCGAATGGCTTCATGGGATGCAGGTGTTCGGCTTTGAAATTTCCGTCCATAACAAATGACCGGGTGTATTTCCACCTTGGAGTTGTTGTTATACCTGAGGTGACTTCTGTATCGAATGAGACTCACTCATCAAGTGATTCATCCCCTGACAAGGATACATTGATCCCTGGCTGAGGACAAGCGGGGCAAAATAATGCAAGATCACCTGCATTCGGGCTGTCGGAACGATGGCCAAATCCATGCCATTTCATGGCCTTCAACTGCCTCCACTGTCGGGCGACTCTCATGAGCTCTCGGTATCGGTCCTTGCCACGTGCTTTGTCAATACAATTTCCTTTAGACGAGAGATATAGCATTACCGGTACGAGGTGTGGAAACATGTTGGAGGTCATTCGCCGGAGCTTGCTGTAATAGTTCATCGCCGAGGTCCCACATTCAAGGTTGTCCAATAGAAAATCATCGAGCACCCTGAAGGTGAACAAAGTCTTCGGCTTGTTAAATGAGGCGGGGAAAAATCCATGTCGAAACATTTGAAGGTCTGGAGTCATGGCATTTGGACAATCACAGCATCGAACCTGGAGGCGATGAACCCCGGACTTGTCAATGATCACCAATGGTGTTCTCCTTCGGTTGGAACTCGGGTCCCGACACACTCGGTAGATCTTCAGGCTCAAGCTGATCTTCAGGTTCGTCTTCTTCGAACAAATCCCACCTGTCTGTAAGTGCCGGACATTGTTTGCCCTCATGACCGAGGTGTATGACGAGTCCGACGTGAGCGAGACAACTTTGCTCAAAGAATTGACCATTCCATTGACTGATCCAGTGGAAGGGATTGCAAAGATGCTGACTTCTGCAACAGCCAGTGCAATACAGTGGCTCCCCAAGACAATCTTGACATTTGTAGACCCCATCCTGGTCGCAGACGACGCATCTCCTATCTTCTGGTGGAGCTTCTCGATCCAGGAGGTGATGTAGATATGATTCCTGCCTTGGAAGCCATTGCCTCAGGTAGTCATTCTGACTCTGCATTTGTTATACTTAGCTATCATTTGAATTGCAATGCAACATTTTACATGAACTTGCCATGGTTTTTGGGAGTTGCAAAGGCTCGAATGAGCCTTGCTCGTGCTCGTAAGTATTGTCAGGAATGTCTTCCCAAAGAGGTGGTGCCTCAACAGGCTGAAGTGTTGGTGATTCTGGGGGGAGAGTTCGGCATGGACCTGTAGGCATGTCTTTTTTTGCTTGCAAGAGGGACCTTGACCCAAGTCTTCCTACCCTTGCTGCCCCTGGCTTCTACCCTGTGGGATTTTTGCAGTGGGGTGCATCTACCTATCTTCATCTTATTTTCTGAGGCTGCAAGCAAAGCATTAGCTCAGGAATATGAATAAATTGTTATTGCAATGCGAATGCTATGCAGTCTTGATGCGTCATTACAAATTCATTTCCATTAATGGAATTGCGATCCAATATGGGTCGATTAAACCAATTGTTAGGCTTTGCTCAAAGTTCAACTTGTCACCATTATTACTTCCACCTTGCTCATCCTCAGCCCTTTCTGCAATCTCATTCACAATGGCAAGATCGGGTCATTCCACTCAGTTGACTTCCAGTTCTGGAAGACATAGGGCCCCGCCAACCACAGACACAGAAGCTCACGGACTCCGAAATTTCGGAGTTGAAGAACTACCTTCCTGAGTGGACTTCGGCGAAAAGGAATGAGAAGCAGGGCAGTTTTCACTGCCATAGCTAGGGCTGCCAGGCTATTTGCTCCCAAGGTCGACCAAGCACAATGGAAGAAGAGGAAGCAGGTGATTCATCCTTGCTTCGCTCAAAACTAAAATTTTAACATCTCATTCATCCATGAACTCTCAGATGTACAAGACATGGTTGTTCAACAACAAGAAAAAGAAGGAGAGAAAGGACATGATAAAGTATGGTAGGAAATGGACTCCTAGGCAGGTGGTCTACCAGCAGAAGCGGGAGGAGGTGCTGAAGAGGATTCGAGGAAGAGTCCGGGGCAAAAGCCAGGAGGTCCCAGGTATGTTCAAAGCATTATCAGGCGGCTGTGAAGAGAGTCATGGCCGAATTGTCCGGTGATGAGTTGGAGAAGGCGAAGGAAACAGCCGAAGAATGGTCGACCAACTTCCCGCCTCCCGAGATACAAGCACAAGTGGCTCGTAAGAAGGGACCGGCTTATATGGAGCACTTTTCGAAGGAGATGTGGAGGCAATGCGGGATGAGAGTGTTTGTGATGTCGGCGTGGAAGAATGAACAGGGAGAGGTGCTGTTCGGGATGTAAGTCAATTTTGTCATGTCAAATCTTCTATCTCAATAGATTTGCATGCAGGCACGATGATAACGAGGCGTTAGGAGATGGGGACAGTTTCATGAAGACGAAGGACTGGGAGGACATCGAGCCAGTTTGGCAGGAGTACGCACAGGAACAATTCGGTGAGTGTTCGAACTCTGGCTACTGGAATGAATTGGTTGATCTTTCTCATGATAGGTGCCGGGGCACGGACGGAGGGCGACAGGTGAAGGGAGGTCGAAAGAGAATCAGGAAGCCTGCTTTCGAACTCGAGACCGACGGGGATGGGATGCCGTTGCTTCCAGACATCACCGAAACAAAACTCGAGGAGAAGAAAGCCATAGTCAGAGCATTTCTTACATCTCACTATCGTGAGTCGATCGTCACAACACCCTAACATTTGTTCAATGCATTTTTACAGGTATCTGTTCCGGGATCGAAAAGGCAGTCGTGCCATGGAGCGCCATCGTACAAAGTCAGGATGACTTTGTGGCAAGACAGTATGTTCCGGCGGATGTGGACTTGAAGGAGCCATCAAAGCTGCAACATTGGGACACGACCGCCCTACTGAACTTCTGGTATGCTCGGCAGGAGGAGGCAAAGGTCCAATGTTCCTGTTCAAAGCATGGAAGAACAGAGATGGGGACATGGTACCCTCGGTTGTAGCCGGGAATTTACCTTCTCATCGGGCTCGTAAAGGTAGAAGAGATATGATCCGAAGGCCTCGGGAGGCCGAAACTGACAGTGATCCCGAGAGTGATCCCAAGGGTGACACCTGATCACATGGAGGATGATGCAGGTGATGACGGCATTGGAAGGTAGATCCCCGCGAAAGAGACGCAGAGCAGAGCCTGGTCCTTCGACAGCACATGAAGGGACAGAGGTCCCACATGCAATTCCAAAGGCCTCGCCCGGTCAATGCAGGGAGATCGAGTGCACTGCTGACATCGCGAATGGGCGACCTCCTGGCTGGACTGACTGAGGGGGTCACCCAACAATGTTCAGGAGGATGGCGCCAATCCATGGAGTCAATAGGTCACTGGCACCGAAAAACATGCGGGGAAATAAGGCTGTGATTGAGCCTTCGGCGAGGACTACCCGGAGTAAGTCAACACAAAGCCATTGGACACTAGCCCTCGAGTGACCAGAGCGAGGGGAAAGAAGCAATAGACTTATACTACACTCCCTGCCTTTACCTGCTTGTATGTAGATGTCAATGTGTATCAATCATATCGATAGTCCTAGAATGTCTGGTGTCCTGTGTGTGGATGAGGGTATTTATCAAATTTCTCTTTGTTCTCTATCTCGGAATTTCTAGTGTCCTTCCTGACACTATCGAACACCGAGTTCCGCCTATCGAGTATCATACCTGCATGTATGTAAATATCAATGTGATTCAATCATGTTGAATAGTCAAGAACATTGTCCGAACGAATCGAAGTCCCGAGCATCGAGTCCCGCATATTGAATCCCACTCATCGAACACCGAGTCCCGGACATCGGGCTCCTACCATTGAGTCCCGAGACATCGAATCTCGAGTCCGTAAAGCCCGAGTCCCGACACATCGAGTTGTTGTCGAGTCCGAGTCTCCGAACATAAGGCATCGGGGTCCCTGCATGAGTATTGAATCCTGACAATTTGAATATTCACAGTCTCTGACTATCGAAACACTGAGTCCCTACGGACGGCCCTGGGGGACGTGAATTGAAAGGTGAAGTAGTTTACATGAGTTGGGAGGTGAATGAAAATTCAGAGGTTCTAATACAGTAATTTACTTTGGTTTGTCTTCTTCAAAGAGTGCAATCAGAGAATCAACTACCTTGAGCATTTCAATGCTCATCTGCTCAACTCTCTGCAACCTTTGTAGGTCTGCATCAGCTTTTTTCAGTTTGTCGGAAGTCTCCGCCCAGGCAGTTCGGAATGGTCGCTCGGCTCGGCCTCAAGGAGTAGTTGGATGGAAGGGTCAGGAAGACCTCCAGTACGGCGTTTTGTAATCACCCCAGTCGATCTTTAATGGATTGGTCTTCCAGAAAAATTAGCAAACAGATAAATACTCTGGTGTCAGATACTCACATTTTTCATGTTGGTATTTTCCGAAGGATGGAACTCCCGGACCATCAAACGTAGGTCTTCAATATCGAGCTCCGGCTTGTCTGCAGGAAGTTCGGTAGATGATGTTTCGGCTGGAGAGATACGATCAGGATTAATCATGCTCTGGAAGGAATGAAGCACATGAACTAGATACATCTGAGGCAGCCGGGGAAACACTGGGAGGATAAGCAGAATCCGGCAGCTCATCAACATCAATGACATCATCCTCGGGCCCGAGGTACAATTCTGGATCGACGAGATAGCCGGCATCATCGGCTGGCCCGGATCTGATTGATCTTCAAGGGTGAAGTGAGCATGGATGGTGATCCCAGATGAAAAGGAAGGTATAACATACCGGGAATTGCAGCCATATGCACCCAGGGGGTCCTGATGACATGGAAACATGTTCTAAGTCATCTTCCGGCCCGAGGTATAAGCCATCTAAGTCATCTGAGGGATACCCGGTAAATAGATAAGGAATGATAAGAGAATACAACATACCTGGTGATACCCGGCCCATAGATGAGTCATCCACATCCATAGCATTACAGTCAGTCACTGGGGGGTCATTAAATCTAACAGCTGGATGGGAACTCATGTTCTGTGGAGAATTTGTGGTCTGGTTGACTGATGATTGAAAAACTTCAAAGTTCAACACAAAATCCGGCAATTGCCGAAAGTTGAACCACAGCCAAACAAACACAAACAATGAGCGATTTTATAGATCGTCCATCAAATGTCTTGTTTGTTTTGAAACATCATCTTTCTGACAACTGATTTCACTCTGATTTCAAGATCCTTAAATCTCCCAACTCAACCATCATGTCCACTCCAGTAAACAACTCTTTGACCGGACCCTCAAGGACTCCACTGGCCAGATCATGGCCATCATCAGCGCTGCCCGGCAGATTCCCCCGGGGTCCCAGCCATGCAGCTCTGGGGAAAGCAGGTGCTACACTTGTGGTATGTATTTATCTTTTTTCTTGTTTTTTTTTGCCTCTCACATCCAGCAGTCTGAGGTAGCCAAGATCTATGGGTCCGGGGATGGTCCCCATTCCCGGACTCGTCATTTCTTGCATCAAGGAGCTCCAGCACATCCGGAACATGGTTCCCAAGGTCTGGCCATCCTGGCACGCGATCGGGTATGACGATCCCCGCGTTCTGAGGCACGTCTGGTACCCCAAGGTCCAAGCCTGGGAGGCCTTAGGTGACCCGGGCCTTCAATCTCCCAATTGTCGCCCTCCCATCCACAGGTCCCATTCCTGTCAACCTTCCTTCCCCAGCCATTCCTCTGCCTAGGCAATGTCGCCGGCCCTTCCACCCTCCCCACCACCGAGTCCCGTGACAAGGGCAAAGGTAAGGCCGTCTTTGCTGGACCCAGAGCCCGAGGCGGAGGGGAGTAGAAGAGGAAGTCTCCCATGATGTCAGAGCACTCCTCCCAACCCCCCGAAGTCGGCGATGAAGACTCACAAGCGTACGCGGTCATCTCGCGTTGTGAAGTCCAAGCCCATCGTGGAGTCGGAAGATGAAGAACCGACTATCAAGGTATGTCGTCTGGTTCTTCTTTTCCTTGTCTCACATCTTCCTGCAGCCCTTGTTTTCGCGTGGAGTGCCGGAGGGTCCTTGTTCCCCTGTACTCCACAATTCTCGCAAGGGCGCCCACTTCCCCTCGATCCCCCAGGGCTCCGACGAAAAAAACTGTTTGGCCCTGCCACTGTAAGTCCCATTTACGCGTCTGGGCCTCGGGTGTATGCTACATTGTACCAGGCGATTGCCGGCAGTCACCAGGCAGTCCGTCAAGCCCTCCCAGCCAACTCCCGAACCCCCTGCGCAGGCACCCCCAGCTGGGGATGGAGGTGACATCCTGATTCCCGGGACCAGTAAGTACCTTTCTTTATCTGACGTACTTCCATACACTAATACACCTTACAGAACAACCCGTGCCACGCATGCACAAAGCAAGACTGGCCTTGCGCAACTCGGTACACCAAGAAGACCGGGGCTCCCGGGTACATCGTGCGTCTACTGCACCACAAAAGAAGATCAAATGCACCCCTGCGTATATGGGATCCCTGCCTCCTCGCGTTCGTGGTTCCTCTACCACCCGGACGACCAAGTCCAGGACGCCATCCAGGGCTCCCTCCAAGGCTCCCACCAAGACTCCCACCAATGCCCCCCCCCACGTCCCAACCCCCTGCCCCCTCCAAAGTGCCCCCTGCCTCCCAATCCAAGGCACGCACTCGCAGTCAGTCTCGTGGCCCGTCCGGAACTTCCAGTGTCACTGCTGTGACAGCCCCCAAGACCCAGACACGTGGTCGCAGCAAGACCATCACTGCTGTCAAGGCACCTGCACCTGCACCTGCACCTGCACCAGCTCGTAAGTCACCCCACATCTTTCCCATGACCCCCTGACCTTTGGCTTCCATTCTAGCGCTTCCGGCGCCCAGGTCGGCAGTCCCGGCTGCACCACGTGGCCCGGCAGTCCCTGCTGCAGCACTTGATGTGCCCATGCCGGATCTCCATGCCATGTCCATTGCGATTCGTGATGGAGCAGCTCGAATCGCTCTTCTGGAGGCTCGTGTGGCACAGCAGGATGGTAAGATTGACACCCTGCAACGCCTTCATGAAGGCCTTAGGCGCGAAATCATCGACCGGCACCCCTCATTCCCACTGCCCGATCTTCCTGCCAATGCATCATCCTTGTTGCTCAATCAATCCGGCCCCCCCACCATATCAACCACCGCATCTGTACTCCCGCCCCTCATTGATCTCATCATGGATGACGTTCCTCCCACAACCACAACCCCAATACTCCCGGATGCCTCTGCCATTGATGGCATCCTGTTTGAATACAACCAGGTCGTTCATTCAGAGGATCCAGATGCTTCCGGCGATGCTCATCCAGAGGATCCAGATGCGTCCGGCTCCATTGTGGACCCAGGTGATCCAAGCAACCTTGTCCCAGAATATGACTCTTCTGATGACATGGATGTTGAGGTGGAGGTGAAGGTTGAAGAGCCTTCTGAGGAGGTTGACATGGCTACATAATCTTGTAGTAATAGATGTATATACAAGTTTTCAATGAATGTGACCTCTGACTGTCCTTCAACGGGATCTGAGTACCAAGTACCGTGTACCGAGTACCGACACCCGACACCCGACACCCGGTACACGGTACTCCTATGTTTCATGTTACATTTGTATGTCTGTACAGACTGTATCATGTTACATTGCTCTGTACACATTTCACCGAGTACTGTGTACTGGGTACCAACACCCGACACCCGACACCCGGTACTCGTTACTCGGTGAAATGTGTACAGAAGTATCATGTTACATTTTTGTCTGTACACATTTCACCCAGTACCGGGTGTCGGGTGTCGGGTGTCGGTACTCGGTACACAGTACTCGGTGAAATGTGTAAAGAAAAATGTAACATGACACACAGTGCTTACAGACAAAAATATAACATGATACACAGAGTGTCTACAGACATAAAAATGTAACATGATACAGTCTGTACAGAGATAAAAATCGGGTGTCGGGTGTCGGGTGTTGGTACCCAGTACACAGTACTCGGTGAAATGTGTACAGAGCAATGTAACATGATACAGTCTGTACAGACATAAAAATGTAACATGAAACATAGGAGTGCCGTGTACCGGGTGTCGGGTGTCGGGTGTCGGATGTCGGTACTCGGTACACGGTACACGGTACTCGGTGAAATGTGTACAGACAAAAATGTTATATTATACACTCTATCATGTAACATTTTTCTGTACACATTTCACCGAGTACCGTGTACCAAGTACCGACACCCGACACCCGACACCCGGTACTCGGTACTCCTATGTTTCATGTTATATTTTTATCTCTGTACAGACTGTATCATGTTACATGTTTATGTCTGTAGACACTCTGTGTATCATGTTATAGTTTTATGTCTGTAAGCACTGTGTATCACATTACATTTCTGTCTGTACACATGTCACCGAGTACTGAGTACTGGGTCTCGGGTCTCGGGCGTCGGGCGTCGGGTCTCAGTACTCGACATGACACAAAACTCGAAACTCCAATCTTAACAGAAATACAAATCTCAGAGCAAAATGTGTATCATATACGAGTTTCGAGTGTTGAGATTCAAGATTCGAGATGTTTGTTTCGTGTCGAGTATCGACACCCGAGACCCGGTGCTCGGTACTCGGTACTCGGTACTCGGTGAAATGTGTACAGACATAAATTGTCACATTATATAGTGTGTCTCATCTGATATTTGTCTGTACACATTTCACCGAGTACCGAGTACCGAGTACCGAGCACCGGGTCTCGTGTCTCGGGTCTCGGTACTTGGTGAATGTCAGACATGGCTTATTCAGGCTTTCTTGTATCTATCTACTCGACCAAGATGTTTCAATTCATGAGCACTGTGGCAAAACGTGACTGTATCACTCGTCGCTGAGTCTGAGTCAAAATGAGGCAGCTCTCTGGTTCTCGTTCAGTGCTTTTGTGGATATAGTATACCAATACCTAGGCCTATCTGTCTATATGATTCATATCTGGGCCCACCTGTCTGTCTAATATTAACCCACGTCGGCCCACCCTTCTATATAATAAATATTTCACCTCGCCCTCGGCCCACCTGTCTATCTAATATACCCCTTCTTCCTTCAATGCACTCAACTGGTCGCATTCATTTGTTGCATCTTGTAGTGTGGTGACTCTCTTGCTCAGGGTGGTAGCTTCTGTTTTCGCCCCGACCAGTTGCTCCAGTGTTTGGATGAGGTATTTATCAAATTTCTCTTTGTTCTCCATCTCGGAATTTCTGGTGGGCTGTTATGGGGGGGAAAAACGACACCCGAACTTGTTAGCAGGTCGCGACTCGCGAACATGGCCCACCCGTCTATCTAATATTTCCCTATGTCGGCCCACCCATCTATCTCATAAATAATTCACCTCACCCTCGGCCCACCCGTCTATCTAATATTAACCCATATCGGCCCATCCGTCTATATAATAAATATTTCACCCCACCCTCGGCCCACCCGTCTATGTAATACATAATTCGCCTCACCCTCGGCCCACCCGTCTACCTAGTAATACCCCACGTCGGCCCACCCATCAAACCAAAACACCTGACATCGGCCCACCCGTCTATCTAATATTTCCCTACTTCGGCCCACCCGTCTATGTAATACATAATTCGCCTCACCCTCGGCCCACCCGTCTACCTAGTAATACCCCACGTCGGCCCACCCATCAAATTAAAATACCTGACATCGGCCCACCCGTCTATCTAATATTTCCCTACGTCGGCCCACCCGTCTATGTAATAAATATTCCACTGCTCCCTCGGCCCATCCGTCTACAAAATAATACTAATACGTCGGCCCACCCATTTATATAATAATATTTGCTATACATCTCTCCTCAGGTCTATAATATATGTCAATCCTACTCTACATATTACCCACATGGGCCCACCCATCTCCATAATAATATTTTTCCCGGCCCATCCACCATTGTCAATGATATATATAACATCAGCATACATGGGCCCACCCGTCTCCATCGGAAATAATATTCCTCCCGGCCCACCCATCAGCATCGGGAATATACATATCATCGGCCCATGATCCGCTGGCCCGTATTACACGGGATATTATGTAGGTCGGGTGACCCGTATAGTACGGGATTTGTCACTGAAGGGGCTCTGCGGACACTGGCTTCCTATGGTCTCCGGTCTAAACAAACATGTTGCTGGTTCGAAAGCTTGCTGTCAGAAGTGGTGAGACCACCTGAAGAACTTTAGTGTTGATGTCTTTGACTTGGGTGGAGGATATTCAGCCACAGCTCCTGATGCAGAAGACGAGAATGATTCAGATGACGGTGGTATTTATGAGAGTGGACTCGGAGCTTACCAAGAATATGACGCTCCAGCACATGAGGAGCCCCTGCAAGTTGATGGCAGCCAGCGAGCTCGTGTTGAAGAAGTGCCAGATGAACCTGGGCCTGTCAGCAATGACACACGATGGATCAAAAGCTATGATGCTCACCATGAGGCAGGTGCACCATGCGGAGAAGTTGATGAAGTCTCACCGACCAAATTCGATGAAATTTGACAACAGCTGGAGGCCGATGGTGCACAGTGGGGACCATTTGACGATGAGGAAGAGTGGGAGTTAGCAAAATGGCTGATCCAAAACGTCGGACAAAATCAAACTGACAAGTTCCTAAAACTACCTATTGTAAGCCTACCAAGTGCCAAACTTAAAATCAAACTGACACTCACCTCTCAGATACAAAACCATGCACAAGTGTCTTACCCCAACAACCGCAATTTCCTCAAGAAGATCGATGGTTTGCCAACGAAGGGCCCAGAGTGGCACTGTGACATCATCAGTGTGGCGGGGGACCAAGTTGACACCAACAGAGATATGATGTCTGCTGAATTGGAGCTGTGGCGGCGCAACCCTGTCGAGTGCATTAGAGAGCTGATGGGGAATCCGACATTCTGTGAGAAGATGGCATATGCCCCCGAGCGAGCATATGAGGATACTGAAGGTAGAAGGAGGATATACGATGAAATGTGGACGGCTGACTGGTGGTGGGATACTCAAGTGAGACATTATTTGTGCTATGCAAAAATAAGAGACTTACTTGTGGACATCGATAGGGCAAGATGCCCAAGGGTGCAACCATTGCACCTGTGATCCTTGCCTCCGATAAAACATTGTTGTCCCAATTCCGAGGAGACAAATCAGTGTGGCCAGTCTATTTGACGCTTGGGAACATCAAGAAGGCAACACAAAGGTGTCCAAAACAGCATGCAGCCATTCTGCTCGGTTATCTCCCAGCGGCCAAACTGGACTGCTTCGGCAAGGGCACCCATTCTGTTGCAGGGTATCGGCTCTTCCATGAATGCATGTGACGCTTGCTCGAACCACTAATTGCTGCAGGGCATGATGGAGTCGAGATGGTGTGTGCAGACGGGTGCATCCGACGAGTACACCCAATCCTGGCGGCATATGTCGCAGACCACCCCGAACAGTGTTTGGTGGCCTGCACGAAGGAGAGTTTTTGTCCGAAATGCTGGGTGCACAGAGATGACCGAGGCGAACCACTGGCATTGCTTTGTTGAGACCAAGAGCGCACTATGACAATATTAAAACATAAAGAAACAGGGAGACAAGTAGCTGCTTACAATCGCGAGGGTCTACGCCCAGTCTATCGGCCCTTTTGGGCAGATCTCCCGCATTCTGACATCTTCGGGGCCATCACGCCAGACATACTCCACCAATTACACAAGGGTGTGTTTCATGACCACCTATTGAAGTGGTGTACTCAGATCGCGGGTGAAGAAGAAATAGACAAACATTACCGTGTGATGACGAACTACCCGGGTCTGCGTTACTTCACCCAGGGCATCTCTCTCGTCTCACAATGGACTGGTACCAAGCATCAAGAGATGCAGCGTGTGTTCATGGGCGTGTTGGCAGGTGCGGTCCAACCTGCAGTCGCACAAGCAGCTCGAGCGATCATTGATTTCATTTTTTATGTGCAATTCCACTCACACATGTCACAGTCGTTGGAGGCCTTGCAATCAGCACTAGACGAGTTTCACAGACATTAAGAAATCTTCATTCAGCTCGAAGTGCGGGAAGATTTCAACATACCTAAGATGCACTCCATGCAACACTATGTTGCATCTATAAAGTTGCACGGATCAGCGGATGGATTCAACACAGAATTCCCGAAGAGGTTACACATCAACTTCGCAAAAAATGTGTATCGGGTCACCAATCGAAAGGACTACGTTGCACAAATGACCAAATGGTTAGCTCGTCAAGAAGCTGTGGAACAATTCGACGCTTACCTGGACTGGACACTGAAGAGAGTAGATAACGAGGCTGATGATGATGGTGGCGATGCGGGGTTAGAAGGATGTGAGGCAGCCGAAAATCAACAACCGCCTAAACAAGGCACGACAGCTGACTCAATACCCGTGGTAACTCACATTCTAGCATCTCGCCCATCTTTCCGGGCATTGACTGTTCCATTCATCACCCAAATGTTCGGCGGTCTCAGCTTCCTGCCAGCAGTCTCTCAGTATCTGCGTGTCTCGTCACTCCATGTTCCTGCGATGTCTCATTCAGCTGCACCTGAGCTGTCGCAATGGGACCGCTTTGATGCATATCGGCATCTCTCGATTCCATACCTCAAGGTGCGAGCTTTGCACATGTCAAAGACCTTGGACAAAATATGTGCGACACCATCTACACCTCCGTCGGGGCGTTCACAAGGCTCGCCAGGTCGATTTGACATGGTACTTGTCCGAACAGAAGGGGAGGTTAATGTTCATACACAAGGGACTGCACTTGAAGGTGAGTTGGCTGAATTTTTCGATATTAATGTTGAAACTTACTACTGGGACTGGCAGGTCTACGAGTCGCGCAGGTCCGATTCCTATTCGACCTCCCACCCCACCTGCGCATTGCCGGCCAACCGTTTTATCTCGCACTCATCAAGTGGTTCAAACCATTTCATGGGTGCAACAATCTGTTGAAGATGCACAGCGTGTCTCGATCATACGTAGGCCAAGCGCCTCGTGCAGAAGTGATTCCAATCACTCACATTGTAGGGAGTTGCCATTTGATACCGAAGTTTGGTACACACGCAGATCCAATGTGGCGAGCAGATGAGGTCCTGGATGTCTGCAAGACATTCTATGTCAATCCATGGATTGATATCACAATGTTTTTCAAGTTTCGCGTTAGTTAGATACTATGTATGCATTCCTGAGGCCCGATTTATAGGTGTTGTGTCTACATTACACTAACTTCATGATTCCGTGTGCAGCAAGCTGTACTTCTAACATTTGCGCTTTCCTAGCCTCTTCGCACCGTCTCGCTTCCGCATCCCAACGCTCTGTGACCAGCCTGCACATGTAATTCTGCGAGACAACGAGAGGGGCTGGAGTTTGACGGTAGGGTTGAACGGGTGTGTTTCGAATTGGACTTCGAACGGCGGGCGTTCTCGGAGGACTCGGCAGATTCATTCCAGTGTCGGCAGCTGCAAAGTCGCTGAAGAGTAGTGGGGGATGGCCTGAGGGAGAGTTGTCCAGGCGCTTCTGGATTACCTCCAATGGAATCCGCCGTTTGAGTTCTCCAAGTCATTTGGCCCTGCAAGATCAGTGATGTTGGTACTAGCGGCAGCAACATTATTCAAGCGTGAGGGTACTGTACCTTTTAACATGTGTATCTCCGAGTCCACCAGTCTCCGGGGATGGTGAACGCAGACTATAGAAAAGTCAGTGGGCGCATGGTGAGTTTTTTTGTGGTCCTTACCGCTTGTTCGGCGAGGACATGTTTGCTTTCAAAAACTTAATGAGGTACAGTGAGTCAGTCATTTATATTGTTTAATTGTTTTGCTTACATTGGTGTCTACAAAACCTACATGTCCTACAAGATGCCTATGTATGTCGGAAATTTGTGAAAGTGGTTGCAATAAGGTATTATTTAAACGAATTTGGTAGGTATCTTGCGACATTTCAATATATTGCAACAATATGGCAAGAAAGTTGCAATGTGCTGTATCATTGCCGTACCATTGTAGGTCCATTGCAATTGATTGCAATGCAATTGCAACCACATTTCTATGGCAATTTAAAGACCGACTCTATTATTTAAACCCATTTCAAAGGCCATTTTGCCTTTAAACCTTGAAATGCCTTGCAAGGCGCTGAAATCCAAATTAGGAATTTCTGACATAGGATGGTGCTGTCTAAGTAGGTATATATAGGTAGTGCCCGCCTACATAGATTTTGCATTTTCCTGATGTTCCTGACCTTGAGAGTGTATCCATTGAGACAAGTAGGAAGGCCGTGTTTTCGCCGCTCGCCGCTACACTTTCGCCGAAAAAGCTCTTCACTCGTTTGCATTCTTTCACTATAGTGGGATCTGGTTTCTACCTGCGACGGCATGACATGGAGATGGTTTGTTTTATCTCATGTGTACTGCTACCTCTCCAACTCATCTTTGTGACAGCTGTTATCCACTCTCTGTGATGGACCTGGTACCCTTCCTAGCCTGGAGGAGCTCAATCTTTACGTCGATACAGCTGGTGGATGGGGAGCAACTTTCGGTGTCATCTCTGACTGCTTGAACGGGACAATAATCCCAGCATTCCCGAATTTGAGGTGTATCAATGCTGATGGCGGTTACCTACACTTGGAAGAGGGCAATTGGAAAACGCACTACTCGAGCACAACCGAGTCAACACTGCATTTAAATAATAAACTCCAAGCCCATAAGGAAAATATGGCATAGGGTTTTACGTTCCCCCCCTCGTAATGCTCTCGAGTCTTTATTTGTTACATACCTAGACATGCTACAATTCACTATTCAAACCACACGAGAATGTCCCCCGCTTGGACACTTGGTCCTTTCCTGATCCCTTTACCCAGGCTTTTCACCACCTTTCCAATATTTTCTTCTCCTGCAAGAATATTGATCTCGGTCTTCATCGCTTTGAGGATGATCAGAACTTCATCGGCAGATTGTATGATGTTGCCAGGCTGGCATTTGATCTTCCAAACAGGCAATGATATGGAAGAAGCAATGTTCGTGCTACCAGGTCCACATGTATTCAATATCCAATGTCCATCCACCGATCACTGCTTTGCACCTTACCACCATTGGGAGGCATCATTTGTGCTGCAAGAGAGGGGAAGGGCTGGCTTCTCATCGAGGATATCACTGGAGCGGTCACAGTTTGGACAGGCCAAGGATGGATCTTCTCTGGCAGCTGCCTGCACCCAACTACCACTAAGCTGTTCTCGCATCCAAACAAGGTGCTCATCCGTGCGATTTATTTGCTCAGAGTCAATAAGTTCATCCACATCACCCAGGCATTCGTGCCATTTCATAGAATGCAGGCTTCAAATTGCCATCAGTCCCACACACCCGCAAGAGGGTAGCAACTTGAGCAGCATTGGAGCGCAGTTCTGAGCCAGTATGCAAGCTCTCGAGATCAGATGGCCAGTCATCTGTGAGCAATTTTACAGCCCATACTCAGATCCCAAGACTGTTGTCGTGCGGATGAGGATCGCAAGGCTGGAAAATTGTATATCACCGCAATGCGCACTGCACAAGCACTGCATAATAATTACTGAGCTCACATCAAGCACAGCTAGGGATTAGCATGGGTATACCCCGGGGTATATGCATTGACACCCGCACCCACACCCATCAATATACCCACACCCGTACCAAGGGTGTGGGTTTTCACGTGGGTACCGAAGATAGACACCCATACCCGTACCCATGGAGGGTATACCCGCGGGTGTCATTGAATTAGTACTATGAAAACAGCAATTGTAGCTACTCTAAATGTATTTGGTCCCATCCTTCCTCAAGTTCTAGCTCCTTGTCACCTACAACATCCGCGAGGTTGCTAACAGCTAAAACGTCTTCGTTCTTCACCAGACCAAGCCGGCTCCAGTAACTCAAGCACAAGAGGGCGTGAGTGGACTGCACATTTAAGCGAGAACAGACATGCGACAGGACGAGGCGGCCACGGCTGAAGAGCCGTTCAACATCCACTGAAGTAGCTGTGATCAATGTTAGAAATCATTCGAAACGAGTGAGAAAGCTGCATGTACCAGGTATAGTGAGGTAATCTAAAGCCATACGAGACAGGTGAGGATATAACGTGCGCCGGTCGTGCCACCAAGCAAGGGCGTTGGGTACATCTTCAATGCCTGCTTTGAGGTATCGGTCAATTTCGCTACCAAGGTCGGAATTTTTTGGGGCAGCGAGGGCTGGCATGTTATCAAACATGTTGTCCTGATATTTGCATTAGTACAGCACATGGATGGGAGACAGAACAAAACTCACTGATGCGGCTGATGGAATGACCGTGCTGTCTTTGTCGGATTCAACCAGGTAGGAGTCTGAGTACGACCGCTTGAACTCATCCCTCAGCAGCTTCTCGGCAGCATCAATCCACTCATTCTCCCAATTCGCCGCCTTGAAATACACAAGTTTATGACGTGGGTGAAGAACTATTGTGAAGACAAAGGTTAGAAAATGAATAGTAGTAGCAATTGACTTACTCATTGCAATGCGGTACACGTCAGAGTGATCCGTCAATTGATAGTAGCGATTTAAAGTCTTTTTGGCCAGTCCCACAGCAGCGCGGATTGCAGGAAGGTATTTGTCGTCAAGAGAGTATGTAGTTAGTTTTTCGTCTATTAAATCCATGGCTGGTATTACAGTGGCAAGATTGGGGACAGCGCGTGAAAAAACATGGTGGCGTCTTTCAGAATCTGGGGTAAGGGGTAAGTTTCAGGTTTCAGCGTGTACATTGCTTACAAATACTAATACTCCATGCACCTTCAGCACATCCCGCAGCTGACAAACAATCTGCCACTCATAGTCCATCAGCTCCAAGTCTCGCAAGTCTCTGCGCTGGGTCATTGTGTCCACTGCTGCCCGATGGATGGATGCGTACTCAAGCATGTCAAAAGTCGAATTCCAACGTGTTGCAACGTCTCGGGGAATATTGGTCACTGGCAAGCGCTGTCCTTCAAGTATACTGTGCCAAGCAGGGAGAAGCTTGGTTGTCGAGTGGATTACTTTGTTGGACAGCTTGCGGAGCTGCATGAGGCATCAATCAAGGTAAGTGATTGGATCTTTTGCAATGTACTTAGTAACTTACCTTTATGAGGACCAATCTAACCGGACGAATGCTGTGTTGCAACATCTTGCATTCACGTTCGGTCAACAGTGCGATCTCGTCAACAAGTCTTCAACGTTATCATCCTCACCCTCTTCCACCTCAACATCTCTACTCAAGCCTTTGAGTTCTTGAGCGAGACGCTCATCTTCATCCATCGCGGCATCCTCGTCATGCTGCAGCGCTTCTTTATCTTTCTTCAAGATGTCAAATTCTCTAATCAGCGATTTCGCTACAAGATTAACCACGTGGAGGAAGCAGCGCGTGTGAGCTGCAGTTCCACCAAAATCCAGAAGGTTCATTTCAAGCTCCTCAAGCATTGCAGTGTTATTGGACGTGTTATCGCATGTTACGCAGAGAATCTGCATTTCGGTGAGTCGCGTGGAGCTTGCATTATGATTTGGTGCTAACCTTTTCTGTTATACCAAAATCTTCCAGTATACCTTCAAAGGCAGCTGCCAACTCCTCGCCGGTATGGGACTAGTTGTGGTTGGTCAGACCAGTTGTTAAACTTCGTACAGTGAGTACACGCACTTTTGGGACCTCCACAATGTCTAATGGGATGCATAGCGGGATTCCCTTATGTTCCAGATGCATCAACAATGCAACATATGCACGGTGGTTTGGAGACGTCCAGCCGTCAGTTGAAAAGTTGAGTTTGCCGTCATATTCCTGGTATGTGTGTCAGTTGCTTCCAGTGTGCATTTGATTAATGTACTCTCGACATTTTTTTTTTTAGCTATTTGTTGCCTTGTTTTGGTGAAGACGAGTCTGGCATCCCGCGAGACTGTGGAGGGAGATGGTATGTAGTATTCCGGTCTTCCAGTTTTCATTAGCAACTGAAAGCCCTGGTCCTTGACAATTTCGAATGGCCACAGATTTTCGCTGACCCAACGTACAATCTCGGCTCTGAGCGAAACATCAGCCTCAAAATCTACATCGAAGACTATCTTACTTCGTCTCAGTCCGTGTATGCTGTCGATGCGAGTAAGTCACTTTGCCTTGACCTTTGTGTTCAAACGCAGTCGTAATTGAACCATTTTGCAGGAAGTTCCCAACTATCTTCATACGTGCTTCTTCAGCATTCCTCGCTTCATCTGCTGCCCGCAGTACTTCATCTCCCCAGCAAATCTTGATGTGCTTGCACATATTGCCGGTGGATCGGGCGTCTTTCTTGTCGAGGAAGCGCCATATCTTGACATGGCATCCCTTCGCCATGCACTTGAAACTATGTGCACATCGATCTCCCTTGGTCTCGATTGTTGGTGTAGGATCGAAAAATGCATAAATTGGTGACGTCCAGTCCTTCATCAGCCGCTCTGTGACACTGATGTTTAGCTTGGTGTTTAGTCTTCATACTTGTATGCTTACTGAGTTCATCCTCAGGGGTCTCAGCCTCGTCGTCCGTGCTCATCTGTTCTCTAGCATTATCCTCATCTTCACTGATAACAATGGCCTCGTTTTGCAACTCTTCCGAGTCCTCTGTTTCCGTGCGGACCAGCAGGTTTCCAGGTGCCGCAACCGTGTTATGTAATAGTTTGTCATCGTCGGAGTAGACCACTGTGTGCCGTCTTTGGGCTGGGTCTTTAGGTGGTGCTTCTTTAATGTTCTTACCGTGATGTTGGGTTGCTTTTACCTTCTTTGGCCGTGTGCTGTCCACACTGGCACTGTCATCATTCTTTCTCTTTTTGATTTGGCCTCGAGCTTCTCGTCAAGTGCAGCCTTGGCTTTCCCAGTTAGTTTGGTAATCCGTTTAGTGGCAGAATGGAAGGGGCTTGGCTGCATGACAGTATGTGTTCGTGATTTAGAGTTTAGAGTTAGAGTTTGCAATACTATTTGGATGTCTTCGGAGTTGGTAAAATATATGTCTGCTTACTAAACCCACACCCACAACATACCCACACCCACAACCCACGTGGGTGTCATATACCCATGCTAATCCCTAAGCACAGCACAGTGGTAGATCTAACTTACACAGAATTATCATAGAACTGAAGTAACGCCTCTAGATCCTCTTCCCTTGGGTCTATCAAGTTGGTAGATTTGCTCGTGTTCACTGTCTATCCTGATGATTGTACACTAACGAGGAACTCAGTAGTGTTAGAAACAGTACTAGCATTGATATGTACCTAACGAGGAACTAGAGTACGTCAATACGAGAGAGACCAAGATATATGAAGTACTACATACCTCAGTAGTGTTAGAAACAGTACTGAGGTGATCGAGGGCGCAACGCTACACAAATACGAATGGTAACGATTATGTAATGATTCCGGAGGATTAACGTGCGGAAGGGACCATGTGTGCAAGAAGTCGAGAAGATGAGTATCAAAGGTGCAAGATAACGGTACGAACAAGAATGGTAATGTGAGTGCCAACACACCCCCTCACCGAGATGCTACTCGCGTGTCTCTAGCTGTAGTCCCGCAACGTGCTTGATGAACAGTGGGCACGGTAAAGCCTTTGTCAGAATGTCTGCAACATTACGATGGGACAGTAACCAGTTGGGAAGGAAGAAGCTGTTTTCGATATACTCGCGGATGAAGTGAAAGTGGATGTTGATATGTTTGGAACATATATGGTTTTTCGCCTCCTTCGACAGGGCTATGGCGCCGGTGTTGTCCATGTAGAGGATGATGGGGAGTGTGTATGAGACGTGGAGTTCGGTGAACAGGAGCTTCAGCCAAATGCCCTCCTGCAGAGCGTGTGTTACAGCCATGTATTCTGCTTTGGTCGAGGAGAGAGCATGCGTTGTCTGCTTCTTCGACACATGCGCAATAAGGCCTCCAGCAAAGAACCACGTGTACCCTGAAATAGATAGGCGGTCATCTGGTGAGCTCGCCCAATCTGCGTCACAATAGCCATGTAACCCTTCATCAGCTCGATCACCCCCGA